ATTTTTTGGCTGGGACTTAAGAAGAACGCCATGAAAACAAGCGTTTTTAAGCGAAAAAGTGCTTATTGCCCCCCCTGAAAATGATGGTCCGGCCCGCCAATGCATTGAATTAGAATCAGAAATTTGGGCCGTTTTCTTTTTTGAATATATCTTTGCAATATATGTGAGACTTTCAAAAAAAAAAAGTCGATCATGTTGTTGATTATTATTTATATTCCAACTTAACTTAATTTCATTCTATATTCCGAAAACAATGGTCAACAAATGTTTGTTCATATACATGTCATCTAATTAATCATTCAAGGGTGATATAAAATTTATTTTGATGAGTGTTGCAAACCTCTGTAACAAGAATTAAAGCGCATATATTCAAAAATTTAACCGTGACTGTGACCAAAAAAGGTCGATCATACAATTACTTAATTGTGAATGAATCTTTGAAAGTCCCGAAAATTAAATTACGACAAGGTTTCAGTGAACGGAAAAATCATTCAAGATAGAAGTACATTAAAAGAAAGATCAAACATTTCTAAATATAATGATAATTTGCTCATTGGTTTTCTATGACACTTCTATCAATACTAAGACTTTTAGTAAAAGAGACATTCACATCTTCGAAATTTCTCGATTTCCAACTCATTTTTGAAAGCGAAGATAAAAATCTTACGTGATTTATGATTGCTTGATGAAGGATGTACTTGTGCAGCTGATAATGTTTTTGTACGTATACTTGAATCACATAAAACAGTTTCAATTGCTAATGGAAATCCAATTTGTTCGAATGTTTCAAATAATTTTAAAAGAAATCGTGTTTCGATTCTTGAATCAATCCATAATTGTTCAATACGTGTTAATAAACAAGTATTTATAGCAACACGTTGATTTTCATGAATTAAATTATTTGTTTTAAATATATTTATTAAATGATTTAAATATGCATTCCAACTAATTAACCATAATGAATTATCATCAATTTTTGTTGAATTTATTTTATAATCTAATAATTGATCAACAATTGAATCAAATAAATAATTAAGTATTTGATCACCAGCTATTGTTAAAATATATTCACAATGAATATTTTTCATTAAAAAATCATAAATAAATTGTGCACCTATTTGACGACATTCCGACCACCATGCTGTTGTTGTTGAATTTATTTTTGATGATATATGATTACCAAATGCAAATGAAAGAAATGGTAATATAATATCATTTATATTTTTTGGATATAATGATATAAGTGTTATCCATGCATGACATTTTGATATTGATGCCGATTTACTTTTTGATGTTGAATCAGATAAAAATGGTGTTAAAAATAATTTTAATAAACGATTATTTAATTGATGAGCATCAATATCATCAAAATTATGAATATGTAACATAAATGATGACCAAGCTGTAAATGCGGCACTGCGAATTGAATAATTTGAAACGATAAAAGCTAGAAAAGAAAAATGAATTAGAATAATAGGAGTTATTAGATAATAACTTTATTCCAAATATTTTTATCGAAAACGTAATACATTCGAATTGTTTTCTAATAGCTTTTAAAGATAATACTTTGCTCGTAAGTAGAAAACATTGAAATAAGTGTTCGAAGCTTTCTGTTATAGCGAGAATTCAGTGAGACTAAGAAAATCCTAGAAGGATTCGTGTTCATGTTCTATTGATCAAGAGTTATGACCGATGTACTGAGTTTTTGGCCTATCAGTAGGTATTCACAGAAAAATCAAATTACAAGATTTTGATCTGAAATTTTTTCCAAGGATCAATCTAATGACCATTAGAACACTCTGAAGGTTTCGATTTTTGTAATAAGCATGTGACAAGTAACTAGTTTTTGCAAATCCAATATCACGACAAGAGAACATTTGCTTCTGCTGAAACTTTCAAGGTATCCTAATGATCATTAGATCTATCTTTGGACAAAATTTCAAAACGAAATCTTGTAAATTGATTTTCCGGTAAATATCGACGGATAGACCGAAACTCTTGATCAATAGACCATGGATACGAATCCTTTTAGAATTTTCTTAGTCTCACTGCAATCTACTTATAGCCAAAAGATGGAGTCAAAAGCTCGAAATCATTAATGAAATATTTCTAAAAAAACTATCCGAATCTCATGAATGATTTTCATTATTTTTCGCTCTTTTCTATGTGCGCATGCGTGTGTGAGTGGAGTTCCTTGACCTACACCCAAATAGACTAGCAAAACCAAAGTATTCTTATAGCTGTAAAAAATGTGTAAACATAAAATTAAAATAGGATAAATTTGATTTCTCGTCGACTTAAGAATCTTTGACATTTCAAAAGAAAATTTTACAAGCAAAGATATTTTCTGATCATTTTCCATACAATTAGCATGACAAAAAACTTTTTCCAGAAAAAGAGCTGTTTGACACAGTTAATTCATAGAACAACGGAAGAAACATTATGACAATTTTTTTCTAATGAAATAATTAGTAATGGTTTTTTTTTTTCGGAGAATATTTTTTTTTATTTGTATATTCATCATTGAATAGTTATAAGATGCTATTCATTGCACTGTGTAAATTCTTATAATACAAATACATAGAAAGTCGAGCATCTTGAATCTAATGAACCAATGAAATTTCAAGGTGTTTATCAAATTTATATTTGATATTAACAACGTAGAATATGTTAGAAAAAAGTCAATTCTCTTTTCTATCACATGTACGACTGCAATTGATTTTTTCCTCTTCTTAGACTATGTGACCTGACGAAAGATGCTCAGTCTTTTATATTCAACTTTTTAACATGAACAAATAAATTAAACATGATTATATGATTTTAGACACGAACTTACCATCTTCAATAACAGCTAAAATTTCATTTCCTTTTGCATGACCTCGTATTATCAAACGACTAAGAAGAATAGCTAATGATTCCCATAAATGAATAATAAATATAGCTAATCGTATATCATCTGTATTTTGTATCCATAATTTTAATTGATTAAGAAAATTTGCTGAAATAATTAATGATGTTGATGTTCGACTAAGAATTTCAACAATTTCTTTTGATAATGGTGTAAATTGTTTATTTATTTTTGAAAGTAAATCAATAATTAAATCACCATATATTACATATGTTGTTGATGTAAGATGTGTTGCAAGAAAATTTAATAAACATGATAACCATTCAATTAATGTTAATGTTAAAATATTTGATCGATATTCAACAAGTACAATAAATAATCGTATTATTGATAATATTATATCATTATTATTATCATCATCTTTTATTAGAAATGTTTGTTTAATAAATGGTAATACATCTTGTTTAAATTGTATATCAGATAAATAATCATAATTTGTTATTATACAATCAAGAATAAACAAAAAAATTTTTCTATCAACATTTTCTGTTGTTAATATATTACAAAGTATATTAATTATTGTTGATCGTTGTGTTTGAGATTGATAATATTGATTATATATATGAGTAAATTGTATTGGTGAATGAAGATTTCCATGAAAATCATCGACGATATTTGAAATATCCATAGAATTTGATATTACACATGTTGAACGTGTTTTTCGTGTTGTTATGGTCGATGATGTTGACATTGTTAAATATATTGAACAAGTGCGAAACCATCATACCGTTAAAATATTAACAAACAATGGCAGCCATTCAAATGGACATTTTCAAACAATGAATAACCTCCTTTTTGACACTCAAAGGTAAATAAAACAAAACTTTTTTTTTTGTTTTGAATCAATATTTATATTATAGACACATAGAAAAATATTACAGATGATCGAGTAATCTTTTTATTTATAATAAAAATATAATCTTTAGTTCTCTTAAAATCATTATTACTGGCAAAAAAAATAATTTAGAATACTTTTCATTTGTTTTACATGACATCTATAAAATGATGTCTCCAGTAGCAGCGGCGCAAGGATTTTTAGTCAGAGAATTTTATTACATAAAAAATTATTAAAACTGATTGTCTTTGTTTTATTTGCTGCTCCTTACAAAAAATTTGTTACTTGGTTGAACAGTTCGGTAGTTTCAAAAATAACCCAAAATCAGAACCATGACGCCGACTACAGTTAATGAGAATGTGGGAAAAACAGTCCTAGTTTGTTTCTCAAAACATCCTGTAGAATCACAATCATTAAATCATAAGATCAACACAAAAATTTTAAATCGATTTCAGAAATTATTAGCATTCAATAGTTGACATTAAATACGTTCACATATTTATACTCAAATGGGAAAAAGCGGACTTCAAGTACGCCAAAGTACGGTAAAATTACGCCAAAAGTACTTTTAAAGTACGACAGAGTACTTTAAAATTGCAGAAAAATACTTTAAAGTACTTCGAGCTACTTTAAAATAGCTCAAAGTACTCCCACGTAGCCCAAATTAACTTCAAGTATAAAGTCCGCTTTTTTCCTCTTGATTTTTTCCCCACAAACAGAACAAAAGTGTTCTGTTATTGAGAAATGTCAAAGTTCTATTCCCAAATAGGGATCGACAAGATCGAATGTAGTTCAGATCTGAGGAACTGTTCAAACAGTTCTTTCGAGAGGATCTGGTCTGTTTCAACAGTTCAGTTTCAGGTGCTGAGCTGTCTGAAAACTATTGGTTCTAATTTGGGAATGATACTTCCGGGTATTCAAAAACTTTACTCAGTACAACAACAAAGGTTTTCCACACCTCGAAGTGCTATTCCCAAAACCGAACAAATAACATATGATGCAAAAGTAATTGCACACATGTCGACCTCTATTTCTCTTCCATAGAAGGATGTGGAAAGAAATATTTTTTTACTAGAAGATACAGCTTTTTCTCCTGTTTCGAATCATATATAACTTATTTTTATAATACGTGCATAAATGAAACAACGTAGCAGAAAAGAGAAGCTCCCTAAAAAAAGACTGCACTTTTTCTTCAAAAGAATTTCACAAAGTGTTGTTCATTATATCTTTTCCATAAATATGGGCTGAAAAGAATATTTTTTTTATCAGTGGATATGAAATTTTCTCCTCTATCGAACAGTGTACGATTCATGTTTTCAACCGATTGATAAACAAAACTAGATGAGAAAAAAGAGAAACATTGGCGCAATAAATTTGTGACTTTTATATGAATTCATCAAAAACATCTTGCAGATGACAGTTAATTATTATTAACTGTTGTTTTACAAAATATTTTTAACCAGTCCATAAAAGTCGAAGCAACGACCGTTTTACAAGAGCTTTTTAATGAGTCCATAAAAACGGAATTAATTGGTATCTAACAAGATGCTTTTGACCAGTTCATCTAAAAATTACAAATTTATTGTGCCAGTGTTTCTCTTTTTTTCTCGTTTCACTGCATTTATAAATGTCTGACAAATATAAATCATACACTGTTCAATGGAGGAGTAAAGCTTCCTACCAACTGATAAAAATATATTCTTTTAAGAACCTATTGATCGAAGAGTTATAGAAGAGATATACGAATCAACATTATGTGCCATTTTTCTGAATCTCACAAAAAGTGCAGATTCTTTTTAATGGTGCTTCTCTTTTCTACTAAGTCGTTTCATTTATGAACGTGTTATAAAAGTAAGTCATATATGATTCGAAACAAGAGAAAAAGCTGTATCTTCTGATAAAAAACACTTCTTTCAACACCTCTCTCTATGAAAGAGAAATAGCAGTCGATATTTGGACAATTAATTTTGCATCAGACGCTAGTTTTTGGACAGCTCAGCACCTGAACTTGAACTGTTGAAACAGATCAGATCCTTTCAAAAGAACTGTTTGAACATTGCTCAGATCTGAACTAGAACTGATGCTGTCGACCCCTACACAGTGGGGAGCTTTCGCATAAGCAGGCGAACGTGCGGTTTTTTTTTACTTAAAAATGGCTTTAATTTGATTAGAAATGACATTATACCACTAAGAAAATTGTTTTTAAGGAAATAAAAGGCTTTTTTTTTAAACTTTTTTCGAAAAAATATGGCTGGAGGGACCTCAGCCTTTTTTTCTTCGAAAAATTTTCTTTAAAATATATGTTGAGCTACATATCATTCGCTGTAGTTTGATGCGATGATTTCGACTATCACCTTAGTTTTTCTTCAGAGTGTAATGTAAATGCCTAAAGCTGGATTTCCGACCAGAAACCTTGGGGTTTTGGACATTCTGTAAAATAACCAAGGAAAGGTTTCATGAATTTTCGCTATTATTATAAGAAGGACACATTCGTACGACCATGTGGTAAAAATTTGAGCTCGATCAGACTTTATTCCTTTGTAGCGTTTACAACATACGAAGCGTTATGTTTTCAGATAGGTATTGGGGCTCGAGATCTTTTGATTTTGACTATAGTTTTAACTGGATTACAATAGTTTGTTTTTTTATCGTAAAGTCCTTAGGTGAGCAAGTTTTTGCGATATTGTTTGCTTCTGGAATATTGTGTTATATTGCCAAGCGGCTTGACTTTCTTTATTTATGCCGATTTCTGGGCCCAAGTCTTGTCAGGCTCTTTTCTAGAGCTTTACAAAATTTTGAAGACTGCTATTGCAAGAAATGATAGATCCCATTTATGTATGTACATACGCAAATGGTTAGATTCTGAAGAAGAATATTTTCGCATATGTCCGCCTGACTCCCCACTGTGCACCATATATTTGTGATAGAACAGAAAAAAGTCTATTGATCAATATATTTGACGTAGTAATGGAATAACTCTTAACGAAGTAAAAGAAAATTCAGCGAGAACGCACCAAAGATAAGTGTCTATGTTAACAATATGTCTTTAACTTCATGAATCGCATTATAGAAAATTTTACTACTAACTACCCATATGTAAAAGTTTCATGATAAAAAGTGCGTGTAAGATGGGCTAGACGTCATAAAATGATGATTGTACTTGTACAACTTTTACATATGAGTCTTCATTTGAATCTTTCATTAATAGTACTATTTTTGTTGGAACCAGAAAATCTCAAAATATTATTGAGCTCGAACTACTTTTAGCTGAAAGATTGAAAAGTATTGAGATTCATGCTATAAACTTTTCTGCGATATGCATGAAAGAAAGATGTTCACTTTGTATTTTTTCTAAAAGTGATCGAATAAAATATTAAATTATAGTGTTCAATAGTACTTGCCGTAGGCTATCAAATTCTACACGAAACATGCGAAGAGGATACATATAAAAGGAAATATTTGTATAACAACATGTGCAAATTTTTTTAAATACAGCTATAAATTTTTATGGTCATATATTAAATCATGTTAGTTTTATTCTTCGATTTCATTCATTATTATATTTGTTATTTCCTAAACTATATATTAAGATGAACTTTACTTAAATTTATAAATAATCTTCATATATGTCATGATTTTATTTTTTTAATTAAAAACTATTCAATAACAGATATAAATTTAAATGTTATGAGTAATTAAAATATGCTTATTTCAATTCAATGATTTTTCTCTTTAATTAAAGTAAAAATAATCAAGTCAAACTTCTCATATTTTTTTTTCTAGAGAATAAAAGATGATGTCATTTTTTATTTAATTTAAATTTCAAGAGAACAACAATAACAAAAAAGAAATGAAAATAGAAATCAATGAAAGAAAAATGAAATAAAATCATGATTTTATTTTATAATAATCTCATTTTATTATTTTAGTACAAAATATTATAATTTTTTACTTTATTATAATAACATATATTTTAACAAAGAATTGAAATAAGTTTATTTTAATATAATCTATTGATAAATTCAATTTATCATAATTTCTCTATTGAAAATAGAAAGAATATTTTATTTATTTATTTATTTATTTGAAAAATATAATCGAAGGATAAAAATTCAATTTATTCTTTTATATTTAAAATTTATCTTAAGAAATCTTTATTTTTCTATATTTTAAATCTATATTAAAAAAATACGATTTTAAAATCATGTTTTGTTTGTAATAATGAGTCAGATTGAACAAATTTTACATTTATTATAAATCGGGAAATTTTTATTATATTCAAGATAGATTATTCGAAGAGAATTGATCTTTATTTTAATTAGAAAATTTTAGAATAATTCTCAAACATTTATGTATAATTTTAGTTAATTTCTTACATCGCTTTTATCATATCTAATGCTTCTTAATATAAATTTATCAAATATTGATTTATGACCAGAGAATTAACTAGCGGCTTCTGTATTCGAGGGATATCCGTGGGATTCCTGAAATTCTCATTGTATTTCCAGGATTCCATTTATGTTTTACAAAATTCACATTCAACCTTCATGATCCTCATTGTATTTATGAAAACTTTACAGAGTTCAAGATGTTACCACTGTATCACATAATCAGAAATGCTGTATTTAACTATTAAGAAAAATTATCCTTTGCCATAAGAATACTAGACTCATCACCTAATTAGGTGAGTATCAAGTCTACTAAACCAAGAGAGCAGTTTCATTTCTTAGTTTTATTGAAAAAATACCCAATGAAGAATAACTAACAACAGCAATGAACAAAATGAAGCAAGAAGTAATAGTGGAAAGATGCGATATCAAACGAACGTATAGTGTCTCATCTTGAACTTTTTATTCATTTAATGAAGTGATTATTGAACATGTTTAAGCCGATCAAGGGACAAGACAACTGTCCTATCTGCTAAAAACCAGTTACCTGTCCATTTATGAATATAATTTTTCGTTGTCGTCAATTTCGATATGAAAATAAGACATGAAGAATGAAGGAGAAATAGTTTAAGAGACTCGAATTGTATGAAATTGAGATTTATCGCTAGCTGAAAAAATAAGACAAATCATCGATTTTTTGTCTTCAGTCCATTTCTATTTCTTTGATTTAAATTAAACAATTAGTATAAGATTTGAAGTAGTAACTTCATTCATAATTAGATAAATAGCGATGACTGTCGTCAAACGAGACTGTTTCAAATGTTTTATCAAATTAAGCTTGTAAAAAAGAGCTAATTTGTTTCATTGTAGCCTTTTTCGTTTTCTTCAAAGCAATATTACCATCGAGTCTAGAGAGAAGATAATAGGCCTTAGCAAAAGCTCAACAAATGGTTTTCTCAATATTATCATATAAGAAAATATGACTAAATAAAGTCAATACTGATCTTTTCGAAGTAAAGTCTTTGTCGCGTTATTTCTGATACTTTGGAAACTTTAGCGAAGAGTTTAATTGGTCAGAGTCGAAGAGGAAAACGATGTATTCCGTATTTTCAAGATTACCTGAACTTGAATAGGATATTTAAGATTCTCACCGGGTTCCGAATCCCTCTTCTTTTTATTTTCTAGCTGTCTATGTTTTTTTTTGAAGATACATATTGGTATCTCTAAGCTTCCATTGAATCATGATGATAGAATGATATTTATTTTTCCATAGCAAAGAAATAATCTTGTTGTCACTAAAAGTTTAGGCAAATTATCTCATAAGATATGGATCAAAATTAGTAACATAACAGAGCTTTTTTCTTTCTTTATGTCTTCTTTATGAAAGAAGAACGAGAAAAGAAAACGAAGAACATGAGGCAGAACTAACCTGTTTCATTTGCCTGGTAATCATGTCCGTTATATTTAATGAATCAATTAGTGAACTTATCTGAGCTTATCGGCTAGTATATCATCCTTATCATATGGTACAAGCCGACAGACTTAATCCATATATTTTTCTTTATAGATCCTTAACACAAGGGTTATTATTGACAAGCATTGGAAGAGTAGTGTTGGCCACAAAACTACAATTGACAAATTCTTGAATACATAGACAATTGAATACTTTCGTCATCGGACGAAGTGTCTTGATTCAAATATGACAATATTTCATGTCTAATTCAGAACTGCAGTCTAATTTACTTTTACATGAATGTATATGAGCGTTATCATGAGAAGCGTTTCGAGATTTCTCTTCTATTTTTAACTGTATGAACGATCGCATTAGGTACAAGGTGGATCACCTTATCTCACTAAAAAACAGTCACTTCTATAGATCATAATGCTCAGTTAACGTTATCGAAGAGTTATGTTTTCAAATAATAGTAACGAAAAAGCTGCTAATTACTGAAAATATTAGATAGTCATCATTACGATGGAAACAAACTATCAAATGACTATCATTTGCCCCAACTTGGGGTTCCCTGAATTAACCCCCAAATCATATCCCCATTTGGGGAAAAAAATACAATTAATATAAATTCTGGTCACCAAATGGGGATTTTAGTTTTGGGGAATTTTTCATTTGGGGATATTGTTCATAAAATACACTATATATATACTGTAATTCAACAGCATCTTACTTCTTGTACTAAACAGTATCAACTAGAATAAAAGTTTTTAGCATGATCATTCGATGTTTATCATTTGTTCCAAACTGGTCACCACAAATGCATCCCAAAAAAAATTCCCATTCGGGGATTTTTTTTCTCATGAATTATATCATACATCCTGCAGGGCAATACCATTCTTTTCTCTTCCAAGATCGCATTTCCAAAAAAATCACTTTCGAAGTCATATCTATTGGAAGTGTTTAGTTTGGATTAGCTAAACATAAGAAAAACAGTTCTATGATGAATCTAGTGACCAGAATATATTTTGTGTTGCCAAAAAGAGGATTTCGTAGTAATCAAAGATGGATTCTGGTCACCAGATTCACCTCGAAATTGTTCGTTGTAGTAACCTAAAATACATTCTGGTCACTAGATTCATCATAGAACGGTTTTTCTTATGTTTAGCTAATCCAAACTAAACACTTCCAATAGATATGACTTCGAAAGTGATTTTTTTGGAAATGCGATTTTGGAAGAGAAAAGAATGGTATTGCCCTGCAGGATGTATGATATAATTCATGAGAAAAAAAATCCCCGAATGGGAATTTTTTTTGGGATGCATTTGTGGTGACCAGTTTGGAACAAATGATAAACATCGAATGATCATGCTAAAAACTTTTATTCTAGTTGATACTGTTTAGTACAAGAAGTAAGATGCTGTTGAATTACAGTATATATATAGTGTATTTTATGAACAATATCCCCAAATGAAAAATTCCCCAAAACTAAAATCCCCATTTGGTGACCAGAATTTATATTAATTGTATTTTTTTCCCCAAATGGGGATATGATTTGGGGGTTAATTCAGGGAACCGCAAGTTGGGGCAAATGATAACCTACCAAGACCGATATTATATTCTGATAAAGCTTATAGAGATGCAATGATTATATGTATGAGAAAAAGATTAGAAGAATAAAAGAAAAAAACATATTGATAGATGAGAGAGCAACTAAGTATTACTTTTTTTGTTTTTATTAACTCATTATTGTATTACAATTTATTTTTGATATATCACAAGAAAAATAAATGAAATAATCATAATGAAATTGAACAAGAAGCTATCAAACATGCATATATATTAGATCTACCAGTCTGACCTGGTAACTGGCAGGCAGCAAGTCAAACCACGAGATCAGGTTGAATTTTGAAATTTTAGTTTAGTCTAATCCATCCATAGAATATGTTGCCTGAATACCAGATCAGACCAGATTGATTATAATGGTTTGGGTGAGATGTAATACTAATTTTTCCAGTTATTAGTGTTTAATATGAGATGATGTCACAAGTTAATTATTTAGATTTTCAACACTCTTACAAACGATATTTTGTATATTCAACATTTCTTTGTTTTTCCATCAATATTGATTTTCTATTTTTTACTCATTTAATATTTTATTCTTTAATGTTGTTTTTTCGAAACTTTTCTTTCGATATTTTTCTCTGTGACATGATTAATTTTACCCTGTTTTACAGCTGCCATTAATTTAAAACTATAGGAGGAGAGAATAGAATGAATTCCCTCAGACTTCTGATGAGATCACCTTTAACAACAACTTTGAAAATTTTCGGACGTACTCAGATAGTTTTAGGGAAGGATCTGTCTCCTTGTGGCGCTGCCACTACTCTCTAGTTGTTCAAACTCTATAAAAGATATCATACAAGGAATTATTTTCTTAAATTGTGTGTTTCTTTTTACGTCGGATTTGTTGTGTTATTCATACTGTTATACAATGAATTCAAATGATAATACAAATATTAGTATGTTAATCATTGAATATCATGCGAATCAAAGTCATCTAACATGATTGTTGTTCATCGGAAGTGATTGTAAAAGACATATTCATTGTTCAGCTGGATATCCGAAAAATAAAAGAAACATTAGAATTATTATTATATGCAATTGAGCCAAACTGCTGTTATCATTAAATTATTCATAGATGTAGCTTCATATCATGCTCAATAGATTTCAAAACGTGATGTTAAAAAAATAATATTAACGAAATTATACATTGTTGTTTTGCTTTCTCGAAAAACAATTCATGCTAAAGAAAGATGAGATCATTTTAGAAATTTAATCATTAGTTTTCTTCTTTTTACTCTTTTACGTCTCAGAAAGTTTTATTAAGTGCAAATTTTTGTATTCAAATTATTCATCATATTTGAGTGGGATAGTATCTAAATATAGTAATATTTTGCCACGTCGACAAACATTTCTGATTGGTTAAATAAAAGAAATTAGTAATACTATTTCATTATTATTGCGCAACATCTGATGATTATTCATCTGTCTACGTAGTATAAAAAGCAAGATTTTTCTGTTGTATTTTTCATTTCATATTATTCGTAACAAAATACAACTATGACTACAAATCAACAAGAATATGCTGAACAATTACGCGTTCTTCAAGAACGTTTTCCACAAGAACCAAATGATAAATTAGTTCGTCTTTTACAACGACATGGTGGTGATGTTGATCAGGTATGGTAGATTAATAATTTTTAAAGTATTTTTTATAAAGCCCGCTAATACCTCTCATGCGGGGGAATGGAGGTTGCTTGATATTTATATATATCAGCGTAAAAAAAAAAGCAAAATTTGAAAATTATTTTTTTAGGTTAAAATATATTTCTTTTTTGTATTTGTAAACATCTGTACATATATTTGGATTAGGTTCGTGCACTTCTCGTTCATCGAGAACATCGTGCCAATAAATGGGATACACTTGAAACACGATTTGGTACGATAGTAACAGCATTACAACAAGAATTTCCATCAACTCAACGATCTAAACGTATACGTTTATTGAAAACTATGGAAGTTTTTGGTGGTGATGTTGAACAAGTTCGAAAATTTTTACAACGAACTGAAGAACGACATCAACAAGAAGGTGATAATTCAGGCATATCTCGACGTCAAAAACGAGAAGAATTAAAAACAAAATATGCTACACAATTAGCTGAATTAACTACTGCTGGTATTAATGTTGATTCTCCATGTGTACTTCGACAATTGGAAAAAAATCAAGGTGATGTTAATAAGGTAGGAGTCTTTTTTTTTCTTAATTTTAAAATACAATGATTCATAATCAAATATTTCAATAATAATAGATCATTGAAAAAATGTCACGACGTAAAGAAAAAAAAGATAAATTAGCTGAACTTGATACAAAATATGCAAATCAAATTGCACAACTTGAAGCTGATGGTGTTGTAATGAAAAATAAACGTGTTTTAATACGTTTATTAGAAAAAGCTGATGGAAAAATTGATGTTGTTAAACAACTTTTAAATGAAAGAAAAGAAAAACATGAACAAAGAAAAGAATATCAACATAAACATCGAAATAATTCACCAGGTAAAACAACAGAAGAAACGAATCAAACACTTCCTATATGGAAAAAACGACGTGAATTAAGTGTTGATGATATTAATAATCTTAAACGACTTCGTTCAGCTGGTGTACGTGGAAATCCAATGAAAATATTATCAATCTTTCAGGAATGTAATCAATCAATTGAAATGACTGTTGCTCGAGCTGCAGAAGAACGAGAACGACGTAATCGAAGTCGAGAAGAACGAAAATTAGTAAGACTAAATTATAAACATAAGAGAAATAATCGAATACTTTTGTCTTTTTTTCAGAAACGTACATTATTAGCTGAAGCTCAAAATGCGTATATAACAATAAATAATCGAGATGATTGGCCACATTATATCGAAAAAGTTTATTTAGATGGAAATAATATGATGTTTGTTGTTGATAGTCTTCGTCGTTTATGTTTAAATCGAGCGGGTAAAAAAACTGAACGTGCTTTAGGAGAAATAGCTTCAGCATGGAATGAACAAATGCATATACCATATGTTGAACTTATATTTGATTCAACACATCAATTAGATCAAATTGGTACAGTTAAAGTTTCAAGTGCTCAACCAAAATATCGAACAACTGATGATATGTTAGTTGAAATAGCACGACAATCTGACCATCGTGAAAAAAACAAACGTACAATTATTGTGACATCTGACCGAGCATTAGCAACACTTGTGAGTTTAAACCATTGTTTCTGTTTTTAATTTTTGTCTTTATTTAAATCTATAATTATAGTTACAACGCGAAGGATGTTTACTTATTAAGCCATATAATTGGTTTGCTCATTGTGTCATGACATTAACACCTGACTTGATTAATTATGAAGAATTAACGGGGATGATGACAAAACAATCAACATCAACAACAGTTAAAATTCGGTATAATTTTGATGAACTTGTTCATCGTATTGCTAAGATTGATATATAAACTTTCCAATTCAAGTTTTTTATTACAATCAAGAATAACTTTTATATTTTCTTTTCTTTCCTTTTCTTTTGTATTTTAATTACATATTTAAAATAAACTTTCAAAAATGAAATATTTGATAAATCTCTACTGTCATCATATTTTTCAATATAGACACGAAATGTATTCATTATGAATTGATAAATGTATATTATTGTAATGAAAAAAAAAAAAAAGAACGCTTTATTACATATGTGTCATGGAAAGAATGTAAATGTGACTCTCCGTACAATTTTTTCTTCTTTTTTTGCTTATTCACATTATCGTGTTCGAAATTATTCGAGCGAAACCAGTGACCGTCCGAATACACACTATGTACAAAACTAATTGCGTTAGTTATTTGATTCAATCGGACAACTCACTTCTTTTTCTTTTACTTTTCGTATATGTAACTGTTACGGTTTACGTTCTTCTTTTTTCTTATTATCATTACATTTTTGTTTCTTTTCTCCTTTTTCTTTTCTTTTTTTTTTTTTTAGTAAAGTGTTATGAAAGCGTGACCAAACGACTATTAGTGAAGAAAAAGATGATGGTAAAAGGCAATACAAGTTGGACATAGAATATCGACGTATAAGTAATTCATTGCACAATTATATTGGAATATGTAAGTTGTATAAAAGAAAAAGTAGATTGTTTTTTTTTTTTGAAAAGAAAATCATCTACCCATAGGTATACATTAACTAATAGATAATTTAATTAGGTTCTTTCTTTAAAAAAAAAAAAAGGTGAAGCATCTGAAAAAATAATTAGTCGAAAAGATCACATAATTATTTAATTAAAATTACAGAGATTTAATCAAGTGACATAATTAAATTAATTATCTTGCTAAGTCGTTTTTGTTGTTAGTTTTCCACTTTTAGTTTATATTTTTAACAAATAAAATATTATGCCTGTTACTACTATTATGAAACCATCTACTCCCGTAAGTACAATTTCGTCTTTGGATGCAAATAATGCAGGAACTGCTGTTCAAAGTGGTCCGTATACAAAAGCTCAATGTAAATTATTTCACGTTGTTTCTTAATTAAATAAAATCTATTTGAATTTTGATTAGTTCAAAATACTATGGAAGGTAGTCGAAGTGTAAAAAATATTAAAGAAGTTGAACAATTACTTCGTGATTATCCAGCTGCATTAGAACTTTTTCGAACAGGAAGATATAAAGTTAAAGTTAAATATGAAGCTGATGTTGAACGTGTTATACTTGTTGAAAAACGATCAAGCAAAATAGCATCAAATAATGAAACAAAAACAAATAGTATTCAACAAAATAATCAATCTTATTTCAATGCAGCAACAAATTTAGAAAAAATGAAAGAAGATATGAAACAAGAAAGAGATTTCGAACGATCACGTAGTCGTACACATTCACGAGATCATGTTGCATCAATAACATCAATAACAGATAATAATACGTTGACTCAAGCAACAACATCTTCAAAGCGTATGACAAGTAATATTCAACCTAAAGTTGATCATTATCGAACACCATCTCAAGATCAGGAAGTTTCAATCACATCACAATCCAGACAGCAGCAGCAGCAACAACAACAACAACAACAACACTATACTAATCATGGTACGAATTCACGAGATAGTCCTTTAAATGTATCACAATTGAAGCATAAAGGAAAAAGAAGTAATCGAGATAATCCAAGAGCGTTAGTACCTTATGTAGCTAATGGTAATCAACCTCAAAGTATGTGGCCACAATCACGACCTGTTCAACATTATTATAGCAACCCTGTATTACCACAACATATGCAACCATCAAATAATTATATGCATCCAACATTTTTACCTCAACCAAATTCAATGTATCAACAACCATATTATTATGGTCAACCACCTCTTCCTGCTCTAGCTTATCAACAGTAAATTAATAATTTATATTGAAAAAAAAGAAATTTTCTTTCTATTTAATTGATTTTTTAGACCATCTATTTATCCAGCAACATCAGCAGTAAAATCAATAAGAAATATTGGCAATTCAAATATTCATTCAACACATAATCATCCATCATCATCTCATACTAAACATAATTCAAATAGAGGTGTTACACTTCCTACATCATTTCATACATTTTATCCAGATCAACAACAATATCAATCTGCTCAGCCTATAAATCAATCACAAATACCAATGCAAATGCCTGCTCCATGGTCAACAACGAATCCTAGACGAGCAGGTCCAGTTGTCAATAATGATGATAATGATGCTCCTATAGAAAATCGACGAAATTCGAAATATCGTGCTCATAGTGTTGATACAGGTCCTCGTAGTCAACCTCCAGTAAATTATTACAATCAACCACAACAACAACAACAACAACAACAACAACAACAACAACAACAACAACAACAACAACAACAGCCTCCTCCCCCTATGGCTATTGAAAGTCATCAACATTATCATCATTATCATCATCAACATCGATCTCATCCAACAAATGTATCAGTTAATAATACTATTGTTCCATCGGTAGAACCTGTTAAAGAACAACATATTCCATTAGTAAAAGCAAAAGTTCATTTTACATGAAAAAAAAAAAAAATCCTTTTCGTTATTTATTTAGAAAGAAACACCAAAAGCAGTAGTTAATAATGGTAGCAGTGGTGATAGATTAACTATTCGTCAACTAAATGGTTTATTTTCTAATATTTTTTCTATTATTATTATTATTATTATTATTAACATCGATGTTTTTCTTTTGCAGAAATTTTTCTTCGAACTGATCCATCAGGTCGATTACAATATAATTTATTACCTAATATTTTACAACGTTTTGGCATATCATTAACAGAAAATGATATAACTTCAGCTGCACGTGATCTTCAGTATAATAGTAAGAGAAATTTTTTTTTTAATTTTTTTTTAAATAATCTTCTTCCTTTTCCTTTTTTTTAGCTAACGAACCAGTATCTGCTCGACGTCTAGTACATATTTTAGTTAGATTAGGTAAAATAGCAAAATCAACACATCAACCAAACCAACAACAACAACAACAACAACAACAACAGCAGCAGCAGCAGTACCAATATCAACAATCTGCTATGTCACCAGCCATGTTACCTGAAGATCGTGAAGTGACTGATATTATGACACAACATAGATTAGTTGGGGTAAGTTTTTTCGTAATTAAATTTAATTGATTTTTAATAATTATCTTTTTCTAGGCTGCATCAACGCATATACATTCATCAACATATCCTAATCATTGGTATTAATACTAAAAACAGACGATATATATACATACACACAACTATTACGTAGAATAAAACAATGAAATAATCGTAAATTTTTCTTTTTCTATAATTTTAATGTATTTGTATTCATTTATCTTGTTTGAAATATTGTTGAGTTCATGGTTTAGAAAAAAAAAATATAAAACCATACATTATATTTCCAATATAATACTTCTTAAATTGTCTCTTGTTCTTTTTTCAAATTCAGCTAATAAGTTATAACTCTATGAATTATACAATTAATCAATGATCTTACAAGGGAACATTCCCAGGTGAAGGAGCGCTTTTCAGCTGGGGTTTCGCGCATCTTGTAGCCCATAGTAAGCTATGTCTATGGTAAACAAAGTTCGGGTTTCTGGCTTGTTTCTGAGGAGATATCGAGCTTCCAGTGAATTTTCTCTATAGTACGCCCACATTGGCAGCAAAGCTATACTTTCGAATTTTGATCTAAAACTTTGCCTGCATAAAGGTCTCAGCTAGACTAGTTTGTATAAAAAGTTTCAAAAGTTTTGAATAAAGTCTCTCTAAGATATGAAACTATCAAGGTACAGCCCCTTTTTCATAAATAATATATATAGTATGCATTTTTTTCAAATCTTCGTATCTTGAACAGACTTTGTCCAAAACTTCTGAAATTTTTTATTCAAACTAGTATAGCTGAGGCCTTCATGCAGGCAAAGTTTCAGATCAAAATTCGAAAGTATAGCTTTGCTGCCAATGTGGGTGTACTATAGAGAAAATTCACTGGAAGCTCGATATCTCCTCAGAAACAAGCCAGAAACCCGAACTTTGTTTACCATAGACATAGCTCATTACGGGCTACAAGATGCGTGAAACCCCAGCTGAAAAGCGCTCCTTCACCTGGGAATGTTCCCTTGTTAGTAATATAATTCATTGGCATTCGTTGTTTTTTTTTCGGCAAAATCATTAATTCTCCTTTTCAATCTTGACAATCTGTATACTGTTTGAAGTATGAAACAGCTCTTAGAACCTTGATTACACTTAGATGTTTCGCGAAAGTAGCAGAACTAGAACCCGTCGGGTTCAAAATTTTTGGTCCCGCACTTGATTGAATGTGGAACCAATCGAACTCATTATAAACCAAAAATTCTTTTTTAGTATCTAGTTTGATACATCAAATTATTGGAAATTTTTATAGAATTTTTAGATTCTAGTGCATTTTTATGAATTAAAGATTAATTCGTACGATAATACATTAACGATAAACAACAATTACTCATCTTTCGATTTTTTGAACTAATTGAGTTTGTATTTTTGATGAATGACATACATATATATTTGACATTAATGCATAAAATACCGAGTTGATGAATAGTTCAACCTTCAATAATAGAACAATTATGCTCATCAATTATCATATCTACTGTGTTCATCTATAGGCGTTAGTAACATAGCAATTACTATAGTTATTGACAATGATAATCAATCGTCGTCCAATGTCTATTATGATTAACATCAAATATATTCACATTATCTTTTTCTAGTTACAATTAGTTCGACTATTCAAATAAAGATCGTTTACCAACCTTGAATTTTGATAAATTACGATGTCAATAAAAAAAACTTCAATTATCTACGAAGTTTGAGGCGAAATAAAATATTCTAATTGAAAAAAAAAAACGAGTTATGTAATAATTAATTGTCGAATAATCATTTTTGAGAACCAGAAATGTGAAAAAAGTGCATCATGATATATTCCTGCATAATTTTTTGCCATTTGTTTATTAATAATATTTTTATTAGTGTCTGATGAAAATTTTCTGTCGATTTTATTTCAACAATGTCTTTATCATAAAATCAATTTAATTAATTTTAACGTACTTTTTTTTTCTCTAGAAAAACAACAATTCCCATAATAAAAACTAAATACTTAATATATCTACGTCAATGTTTTATTCAGCGAGAGGATCGAGAGAGCAGCACTTCTCCGAAAATTCGATTGGCCTTTTCAGTGGTTATGGTTATTTTAGAACGTACTAGGTATCTATGCTCCTCGCAAAACAGCTGTTCGTCCTCCCAAAATTGTAAATCGCTTCTTTGAAAGATAAAATCTGAATAAAACACTGCATCTATCGAATAAGAATCACGTTATTAAAAATCAAAAGATTACAAAAATGATTATCACAAGTTTTTGATTTTTCTTAATAAATCGATTATAATGCCATTTTAACGATATTACATATCGTAGCTAAAGTTCCACATAAACCAACGACAAACAAAGGTAATTTGCCTGACCATAAAAATCGTGGTATTGCAAGCCAATGAACACAATTGAGAAGAAAACAAAAATTATTTAATAATGTTAACATACATTTGTACATCTCAGATAAAGGTACCATTGAACTAAAAACGAATAGAAATAAACCTATAATTGATTTCAAATCAAAATCTAACCTTCGTATTTCTTTACTATTTCCATCCTTATTTCTTTCTGCTCTTAATAATTTTTTATATTTAATCAATTGAAGTGTATTTCTATAAAAAAAAACAAAAATAATTAAATCGTAAAAAAAAGAACACATAATTGAATTCAAAAATAAATCATTCTAAATACCTAATAATTGAAATGATAATATTCGATAACCAACAAATTAATGAAACAAGTCGAAATGATCTCGATGATCGATTTTCTCCAAATACATTTGCTTCACATAACCATGCTATACATTCAGCAGGATAATAAATACAATCAAATAAATTACCAGCTAATGTTAAAAAACGATTAATACTAGATGATACTATATCCTAAAGAATTATTTTTCTTTTAATTTTAATAAGAAATTTTCAAACAAAAAAGATAAATTACATTTTGTCCAAGACCATATTTACGAATTCTTGAAAGACAAGCAACATAATCTAATGATCGATTAATAGTACGACATAAACTAATACGAGCATATAAATTAAGAAGATTTTCACGCAATTTCTTTCTTTCTGATAAACAACCAGCTGTAAGACAAACGGAATATTGTGAAAGACATAAGAGTGTATTTCTTGAAGAGTTCAATTCTAATTGATTTGCTAAAAAATCCATTTTGATATTATTTATATCTCAATCTAGAAAGACACACACATAAGTCAAGTTTTATATAAATTATTGTTTTTATTATCCATTGATGTTAACAGCAATAGATATTTTGTTTTTTTAACAAAAGAATTTTTGCAAAAAGAATAATAATTCATGCAAGCAAGAAATCAAAGAAAAGTACAATAAATAAATCGAGTGAATAAAAGTGGAAAGACTTTTAATATATAATATTGAATCTGGCAATTATGATTAACTGCTAAGTGTTTCAATCTAAGAAAAAAAATATCAAAATATTTTCATTTAAAAAATAAAAGACTAAATTAAATCTTAATTACCTCTTTAGCAACAAGATCCTTTTTATGTAAGAATATATCAGCTTTTTTAATATCATTTCGTTGACGACATTCATCTGCTTCTTTATTATAGCGTTCCATTAATTGTTCAAGACCTCGAATATGTTCTATTAAGAGTTTAACAAGAAAAAAAAAAAAGAATCAAACAAACCATTAAAAATAATTATACCTTGTAGAGCTTGTTTTCCGCCTTGACGTAGACTTACAACTATTTCATCACATTGTTTTAAAAGTGTTTGATGTGTTACTCGTAATTGATCAATTTTATCTTTTGTCAGATGATCTTCAAGTTTTTCGATCTAATTTAATAAAAAAAAAGCAAAACAAAGAAAAGGAACAATAACAACTTCTTTACATAATCAAATAAACCTGTTCTTGAAGAAGATCTGCTTCATATTTAAGTACTTGTATACTTTGATGACCAACTGACTGTTGACTATTATTATTTGATTCAGTTGTACTAGATCAAAAGAAATAAATGATAAATAATTACAAAACAATCATAATTAAACTACAATTCAGCAAAAAATATGTGATGCATACATGCATATTGGAACGAAAAAATGATTGGATATACTATTGTCTTATATTTTTTTATTATATTTCTATAAAATACCTGCTATCAACTACTGCATTATCGTCATCATTATTGTTATTATTAGTTAAGTTATTAGCCAAATTTATAGCCAAAAAGCCTAGAGCATCACTTGAAGGCACAAGACGTGAAATAGCATTAATCGATGGAGCTGTTGATGGTAATCTGAATTGAGAGCAAAATTATTCTCTTTCTATTTTGTTTTTGTTAATAGAAAAATACAAGAATAAAGACACACAAAAAAAAAATATACTAATAAGAAAGCTTTGATATCGAGCGAAAGAAAAGATTAATAAAACAAGAAGAAGAAGAAAAAAAAAATCTGTATATGTATTAAACAATTATTTCTGTATTTCTATGTTCATTAATTGGTTGCATTTTGTTTGTTTTCATAAAAAATTGTATTTATAAACATGTACAAATTGACGATGTTTCTTTGTTGATAGTCGTTGTTGAATTTGTTACAAGATGTAGACTGAAAAAATAGTATGATCGACCAAATGTAAGACAAAAAAAAAGCCAAAAAGAAAAAGGGAAATGTAAAGACTACGATCGGACAATGTTGATTCCATTGAAAATACAATGAAGCAAAAAAAGAAGCTTCTAAGCATAAACTATTTATATTTAACTTACTTGGATGTTGACGATTTACTATTGTGTAACTAAACAAAATGAAGAACAAAAAAAAAAAAATATTGAAAAAAAAAAAAGAAAGATCAAATTCTAAAATTTACAAGTTCTTCAAAACTATCAATAACAAGCCATCGTTGTAATGATACTTCAGATGATTTTGTTGCTCCTAATGCTTCTTTAATACGTATTTTAAGTTCTAATTTTCCTTCAGGTTTTTTTTTATGATCAGTTCCATAAATATCAACTGATTCATGTATAGTTGATGTTTGTTCTAATGGTGCTAATTTAATTGATGCTATACCTAATTGACGATCGGAACGAAGAAAACCAACTCGATAAAATATAGATAATTTTAATTCTTTTCGATTCATTAAACGTTTAAATTTTCCATCATTTCGTTTTATATGAAATTTATGTAATGAATCAGAATATTCAGCATTTATTGTACCAGTTCCATGACGTGTTCGAGCTGTTTGTGGAGCTTCAGCTGGATAAGGAAATTCAATAATAACATAAGTTTCAAGAGATGTTGACACAAAACCAGATGGAACACGTAAATTTATACCACGAAGAACATTTACCTTAAAAGAAAAATTCCTTTTGTTTTTTTTTTGTATGAGATAAGAAAATATTCCAAACAATTTACAGATGTTAGTTAGTTATAAACAGATAAAGAAATATTTTGCTTGTTCTTAACACAAAAAAAGACAAATGTTTTCTTCTAGAATGAATTATTCAGAAGATAAAATTGATCATCCATCGTACTGTAAAACATAAGCGGAAAATAATAAACTATCATATCCGTTTTTTGCCATTGATATAAATTCCAACAGGATTTTGTGACCCGTTATGATTTCATACACCTTTGTACGACTTTCTGTGTTCATAAACCTTTGTTTGAGTATATGAACAGAATACTATGCTTAAGTAAAAGGTTTATCATTGCATGTTTTAAACATAAATATAGAATAATAAATTCTTGTGTAAAAGTTACTTTCTGTCATATACCTAAAAGTGGTTTATGAATACAGAAAAACCGTACAAGAGTATTTGGATTTGCAATGAGTCACAAAACGTTGCCAGAGTTTATGAAAGGATTACCTTAAGAATCTTATATTTCATCCTTTTGAATGAGAGATTGCATTTTTTTACAATGTGTCTTTATATTGAAAAGGATGAAATGTGAAGTAGAGTATTTCGGTCATTTTTTATGTATGATGTATGATCAATTTTGAACTATATCGAAGTATATCATTTCAAGTATTTCTAGTCTGGTTTTAGTAAACATATGATATAGGAAGCTGATATTTTGAGAAGATAAATTACAAAAAAAAAGGGCTACATTTTTGTGAAAATCGCAATTCTATAGATATTGAAACTATATTCACGTATTAGAAAAATAAGACAATTGGTAGAGGCGTATGACCTATTTTTAAGCATCAGTGTATATAATGTATTGTAATTCGGAAAGTGTAGAATAAGAGCAAAAATTAATATATAAATGGGTCAATAGTCATTGAAGTACTTCAAAGACTTTCAAATATGGAAAAGTACGATTAAGTATGTAAAAGAAAATTAAAAAAAATAAACTAATGACAGTTTATTAATAGTATTCGTCGGATGACAAAAGGCAAGACGACTACGTCAGAATCTTGTTATCATATTTAATTAGTAGTCAGTACGTTGACTATTTATTATCTTCATTCTATTTTACAATATGAATATTTCAAAGATGATTGATATAAAATGAAACTTTATTAATACAATCTAACACATAAAACAAACAAATACATTTATCAAACACTTATTAGTGCCATTGGTTGGTAAATAAATTGTAGTGATATTTCACAAAATGAAATGAAACACATATATTCAAACAAACATTCATTACTTTCATAAATTCTCGGTAAAAATCATCATAAACCATAGCATTTTGACACAACCTCAACATAAACTCTTCAATGATGTAAAAATCACAAAATTGAATTTTAACTTACATTTTATCATCAAACTAGCATAAATATAGTAATAACTATTGTTCAATATTCTATTTCCATAAAAATCAGTTTAAAATTTTTCATATATAAATTGTTTTCTTCTTCTCTGTTTTAAATCATATATGATCATTTTATTATTTCTATGATATCGCATTCGATATACTTTTATGCATTTAAATACCAAAATACGTTGTCAACACTTTAGAAAATCATTCTTATCTATTCTTTCAACAAATATTTGTATTTCAAATAAACTAATTTCTTTTTCTTTCTTTCTCTAGACAATTGAAGTAACAGAAATTAAAGAAAATGTTTATATTTCTTTTTTTTTTTTTTGCATATTTTCTTACAAAACTATAAATTATATGAATTTAATAAAACAAATCTACGTAGGTTTATTATTTTACCTCAAGATCTTGATCTGTTAAATCATTATTAACTTGTATAATATTCATTTGTCTTTTTTCATAATGAAATACAGGTGATTTTAAACCCTGTTGAAAACATTTTCTTAATTGTTCTAAATCATGTGCACAACGTAGTTCAAGAATTTTAAATTCATTAGCTTGTTTTATATTATTTGAACCTTCCATTTGTGCATACATTTGTTGATTACGTGCACATAATTGCATTTGTCTTAGAAGATCATCTTGTAAACGACGATATATTGTATCACGATCAGATTGTACAAGTTCTTGTGTTAATTCATCATCCTGAATAATTTCAATATTTTCATTAGAAAACTCAGGTACCTAAGAAAAACACAAATAATAGTTTTTTTTTTTATGTCAATGATTATAGAAAAAAAAAACAATTCTCATACTAGTTTCATATCAATAGATGATCCAGATTCAACAGATTCGATCATTTTTTCAATATCTTTAGAAGCAATAAGATGTTTTTTAGCCGTATCAATATCACCTTTAGATAATATTAACATATATTTATCATAACAAAAATAAAAACGAGAAATAAATATACCTTGTTGTTTAGCTTGTAAAGCAAGTTTTACATGTTGTTCTTTTTTAAGACGAAGTGTTTGTAATTTTTGATCTTGTCGTGTATCTAAACATAGAATAATTTAATACAAAACAAAAACAAAAATACGAAGATAACTAACTAGTTGAAGGTTTAGCTTCGGCTTGTGGAATAGAAACTACCGGAAGAGTTGTTCGCTGTTGTTGTTGTTGTTGTTGAGTTTGTGATGATTGTACTAATGCAGGTGATTGTGGCGGTTTTAATGATACTGCTATACTATTACCAGTAGTAGATGGTGGTACTTGAGGAGGTTTTGATTGTGGAATAGGAATCGGCGCAAAACCAGGTAAATCTGCTAATTCACTATAATCATATGGACGACCTCTTTTTGTAGCATCAATAGCTTCCTGATATTGCTGTTAGAAAACAGAAAGAGAAATCGACTTTTTGTTTTTGTTTTTAAATAAACAAAAAACAAAAATATTTACTTTTGTAAGTCGATCCATTCGTCTTGCTTTGGAACTCTCTCCTTTGCTAAGTGCTTCTTGATGTCGCTTGACTAATTCTTCATGTCGTTGTTGTAATGCTTCCATTATAGTACGTGGTTCAGGTGCTTTTACTATAAATTAGAACATATGTTAGGAATAGAAAAGAAAATAGATTACATACATGGCACAACCAGTGCGGATGAATTGTCGTCTTCAGGAATATTATTAGATGTTTCTATATGTGCAGAAGAAGAAGAAGGAAGAGAAGCAGGCGAAGGAAAAGGAGCAGGAGCAGGAGTAGAAACAGCTATGGCCTCTTTTTGCAAATTCTATATGTTTAAAAGTAATGAGAAAAATGAAAGATTTTAATATATGTGAAAAAGCGTACTTTCATTTGAATTAGATATTCTTTTGCTTTAACCATATCACCTGCTGTTTTAGCTTGTAAAGCTAATGATTTAAGTCGTTCAATTGCTTCATCAGTATTATTAGAAGCTGGCATTACTACTGGTGCTGTCGCTAAATGTGATTATCTTATGTATTTCATTATAAACAAAGAAATCTAATTACGTTGAGAAATAATTGGTTTATTATCGATCGATAAAGATGTTGCAGATGGTTGTGATGGAGGAGTGACTTGAACAGGTACTTGTTCTGAAACAATTGTGGGCTTAGTTGACGAAGGAGCACCAACAAAAAGTTCAGGTGGAATATCTTCTGCATTAATTGGTGCACCAGTTCGAGCTGATTGAAGTAATTCTTGAATAAGCTAAATATATAAACAAAAAAAAATATCATTATGAAATTCTTCTTTCATAAGAGAATATATTTACTTTAAATTGTCGATCAAGTCGTCGAGCTTTTGAAACATCTCCACTTGTTTTAGCTGTTTGTGCAGCTTTTTTATACATATCTAGACGTGTTTCAAGGATTGATAATGTATTGCTATTTGATGTTGATTGTACTTGCTGTGTTTCAATATGTTCATCTTGTTTTTCATCTTCAATCTCGCCAGCAATGTCATATAATTCAGCCTATTGTATATGTAGATATCTGATAAGTTTAACCAGACAACAATCATGATGATAAAACTTACAAGCAGATCTTCTTCGTCGCCTTCGGATAATTCATCATCATTTATAGGTCGATCAATATCATTGAGAAGTTTATTCACATCATTGTGAAATGATTGAAGATCTGGAGCTGCTTTACCTATATGAAATATGATAATTCAAAAAAATTGTTTCTACAATCTCTGGTACACATGCAACAAGGAAATTAATTGCTAAAATATCAAGAACTAATGAAGAAACGTTTATTTTAACTTTGAATTTGGCTTCACTGCATAAGGTAGACTCCAGTGAGGTTTGAAAAATCTCAAAAGGATAAGGTTCCTTAGACTATCTATTCCGAGTTATAGGCATTTTAGCCTCAAACATGGTAAATACCAACAAATCGAATGACAATATTTCGATCTAAGGTTTTTGCCCACTGACAAACCAATTTGTCATTAGAATGTTTTGAAGATTTCAGTTCGAAAGAACGTTTCTTTTCCGAGATATTCAAGTCTCATAAATCACTCATAATCCACGATCGATGTTAGAATTTTTTTGTTGAAATTTTCAGAACATTCTACAAACAAACAGATCTGTACGTGGGCAAAATACCGTCATTGGATTTATTGAAATTTACTATATTCGAGACTAGAATGCCTATAAATCTGAACAGAACATCTTATGGAACTTATCCTTTTGAGACTCTTTTCATATCTCACTGAAACCTACCTCATAGACTAGGTCCGAATTAAAAAGCAATTGATCAGTTGAAAACGTTTCCTCATTAGTCTAAACAACAAATAGAAAAGATTCAATCGGATATGCAAAGAACTTTCATTGGTTATAAATTACAGTTATCCATGTTAAGCAAAAAACTGCAGACACCGCGAGAGTTGTATAATCATATGAAGTTTAAAACCAACAACTATTCTGAAATGCGTTTTTAGTAAGCACGAATATGCATAGTTGCTGTCATTTTTTTTCTAATTACTTATAAAGATATGTTTTACAATTAAATATTACGGTAAGTGTCCTTATTTTTAACAATTTATATCAAGACAATAATGAATGTCGGTGCCTACGAATAGCGCAGCATTGAAAGGCTATTTGTTTCGGACTCTATATGATTTTTCAGCTTTCGTAGTATCCATAGTTTTTATAGGCATCCAAAGAACAAACCTGGCTTTTTTGAATTAGATTTCGAACGTTTTGATGCATGGCCACCAACATCTTGTTGTATTTGCTTTAACTCAGCTTCAAGATTATCATCGTCATCATCATCACCAGCAGCATCAAAGTTCGGTTCATCGAAATTCGGCATTTGCAAGCCAAACTATAATAAAAAAAAAGAAGTCAAACAGAATGAAAAAATCTATACAACATCAATTGTATGTACTTGTTGCATCATTGCTGCTCCACCACCTTCTCCTTTAGATCGCTTTTTTGGTTTGTTATTTTTACTACTTTTGAACATACTCGTAATGTAGGAGTGATAAAGATGAAAAACAAATGTGAGTAAAATCTTTTTCTTGTTTCAACAAATGAAATGAGTCACACGAAAGCTTTTTAAATGGCTATTTTATTAAGCAAATTACATAGAGTATTAACACATAATTGGTTGACGTGGCACAACCAATCTATTCTATTGAAAGTCGCTAATATCGTCGAATATATTCAATCATATTCATATTGTTCTTGTCTTTTTTTCATACAAAACATTGTTTATTGAATTTTAGTGATTGACAGTACACCACAATCATGTCTGGCTGGTTTAGCATCGATCCAAATAAGCTTAAAGAATTAGCAACAAGCACATTAATCAATGCACAAAAACAAATAGGTTAAAAAAAAAAAAACAAATATATTATATTTCTATATTTTGTTGTCTTTTTTTCTTCTAACATAAATTTTATTTATTTAGACAAAGTTCTCGATATTAAAGACGGTGCTTCTAATACAGAACAACAACCAATAGGTAAATATAATATTATTAAACTGAAGAGTCTTGTTTTTTTTAAATAATTTTTTCTAAAATGATTTAGTTACTAATAGTGGAATAAATAATCCTCCTCTTCCAACAACAACAGCAGCAAACAATGATGATTTTTTTTCGACATTTCTCGGTAACCAAAAACCTTCAACACCAAACACAGAAAAACAAGAAGTAAAAATAGAAAAAGATGTTTCACTTACAAATTGGAATGCATGGTCGGATCAAAACAATGCATCACAACTAGTACACAAAAAAACCATAAAAATAATTCTTTTTGTAATTATTTTCTTTTTCAAAATTTAGATCTCTTCGGAATCACAGTCAGACCTAATAGCAAACGAACAAAATACCAATGAAGAAGAGCGAATACCAATCACTGAATCTATTGATATACAATCATCATCATCAATAACAGAATCTGTTGGTATAGAACAAGTACCATTATCATCATCATTAACTGAATCATCAACCATAACAGAAAGTTCTAGTAGTGAAAGTGCTAATTCATTAAAACCAATATTAAGTATACTATCATCTGAATCGACTATTATTGGTCAAATTAATGAAAATACAATAGATGAAAAACAGATATTTATAGATAATGAAAATATCGAATCTGACATTGATCATCGATCTGAAACAATTCAACCATTACCATCTGATAAACTTGATGTTATTGATTCTTGGATAAATAATCGTGAGAATAATAATACTACTGAGTATGTATTACATTTTTATTTATAATTTATAATAATTAAAAGAAATTCACTTTGAATAAGTGTTTATATAAATGACAGAAATATTTGTTTAATATAAATTTAAAATACATAAAAGATAGCCATTGAGCCATGACAATAATAAAATAACAAGGCAATTAATCTATGACGGTTTAATTAATTTGTGACTCGAACATTTATTTTCAATTAGAAAACTAGCGACTTTTTAATCATGCTAGGAAGAATTTTTTACTATTTTTTGGACAGCATGAGCTTAAAATACCCAATAGGTTACATAAACCTAGACGTTCTCCTGGTAAAGAACAAACAGATGATTTCAATAATTGAATCAAACACTTTAAAATAAAAACAACTTTTCTCATAGAAAAAACCAAATGTACCGCCCTTCCTTACATCTCAAGAGCAAAAAGCCATACTTCTTTACAAGATCATTGATAAGAAAAATTTCCCAAGACTTGGTAGAAAATCAGTAACTTTCCAAAAAAATGTTTTGTTTTGGAAATCGAATGAATTTTAGTACTTAGGAATTCTATTTTTTTTTTCTAGTAAAAAAGTGTTTTTCTTACGTGAGAATCTCCTCAGATGTCTCCCTCCGATTCAAATAATTTTTTGTTCACAGATGCTACAGTTCCTATTGATACATACTTGACTATGCTATCGAGTTTTTTTTTTTAGAGGTTCCAAGTTTTCGGAAAATATTTCAACTTGTGAATTCCTTTTATGAAGGCTCATTTAATTGAGTTCTCTATATGCACAAAGTTTCAGATCGAAATTTTTGTAGATTTTTTATTAGAACACTATGTTGTATCTACAGTCAAAAAGTTATTGAAATTCGAAAGAAGACATCTGATGATGTTCCCATTTTTTTTCAAGAATCCCTATTTTCTGGTGCTCATTTACAAAAAAGGCTTATTTCAATACCAAAAGAGTTTTATTAAAAACATTTTTGGTTTCTAGATAAATCTCATATAAAAACTAACTCGAGATACACAATCTCTTTTGGAGGCACTATGTGAATTTCCATAATAGAAGGCCATGTCCTTTTATTCTAGAAGATTTAGTAAAAAGCCAAATCAATTATATATATTGTAAATTTATCTCATCAATTTTTATTTTTATTGATTTTATTTTATAAAATTTTCTAGAAATAATCTTGAACAAACATTACAAAATAAAGATGATATTGATGCATCATCTGTATTATATACATCATCATATCCACCAAATAATTTTCCAGCAGCATCAATAATCGATGATGATTTAACACCAACATCTGTTGTATCAACGAATCATGATAAAGAACAACAATTAGAAACTATTTCAACAGATGAAGAAGATGGTAATGTATGTGTTGAACAATCCAATTCACCAACGCATACTATATCATCATCCAATGGACATGATACAGTTAGTTTTTCATAAGATTAAGAAAACCAAAAGAAAAATTTTTATTTCCATTTAGCATAGTAAAGGATCATCGGATGATGGTAAACAAACATCATGTGCATCATCAGACATTGAAGTAATATCATGTCCAAGTGTAACTGGTGGTTTACCAGTTAGTACAACAGAAACATTTGATAAATGTCGAGAATTACGTGATGCTCGACGAGCTGTAGTACGTGAGGTTTGAATTTAATTTAGATTTATTAAATTTTATTCAAGTTAAAATATATCTAGGTTGTTGTTCGTTTTCCATCACATTCAACAAATCTTAAATATCATCATCATCCATTATCAATGGATAATATTGATAAAAATACTACATCAAATTTTGATGCACCATCATGGTCAACTTTAATTGATGAAGCAGCTACTGAACAGAATAACTACGAAAATGTAATAATAGATAATTATTTATTTAGAAGATTTTCTTTCTGTTTTTCTATTATAAATTAGTCACATGAAGAGAATGATGATGATCAACAAAGTATATAAATTTTTCTTTTGTGTTTTTGTAAGTTTGAGTTTTTTCTTAAATTTAGAGTTCTATACGTCAGAAGCTTCGAAAGTTTGTGATGATTATATTGTTGTTTAATATATGAAAGAATGTTGTTTTTTTGTTGGTCTTTTTGTTAATAATAGGAATTAGGTGAAATAAAAGAACGTCTTGAATTACGTGAACAAGCTTTTATAAAATTAACAAATGAATCTAATGAATTACATCGAACAAATCAATCATTGAAACAGTAAATTACAATAAAAAAAATGAAACACAATTTTGATTGAATGTTATTTTTATTATTTCTTTTTTTGCGGTTGTAAATAGATCATTAACAGAATTAGAACAGCGTACATCTCGTTTAACGACTGAATTTCAACAAACAATTGAAAATCTTTCAATGAAAATTGAAGAACAAAAACATGTTGCAGAAGTAAAGTATTCAACATTTAGAATTCTAGATTTTTCTTTCAATCTTTGCATAGTTAGAGAAAATTTGTTTGAATATTAAAAATTGAATGAAGGAGTTTTCTAAAGTTTTTTTTTTTTTTAATCATACTTCCATGGTCCAGTCATATTTTCTATAATTTCGAGTTGATTGTAAATCCAATTGAACTTCATTAGAAAAGATATCGAAATTTTGTTGAATTTATTGAGTTTATAAATGATATTGAAATTCAATTGTAAGGTGCATCTGATCTATGAAATATCAAAACTCAATTTAAAAATATAGATCTAATGATAAATGAACAAAAGTGATTAAGTATACTTATAAAAGTAATAAAACTGCTGCATCCAAGACCCATATAGCCGCGAATATTCGTCTGCAATGATAATTGTAGCCCGAACCGATATTCCTACCATATTGGCAAGGCTGACAATGAGGATGAATGCGAAATCTATATATAATAATTCCACTACTATCTTAATTGATTTTTTGATTGTTCACAATTTTAATGGAATGCCATAGGGTAGAAAATGTCGCGAAGCATTTCTATTAGCTATCTCAGGCAAAGATATACTTTTGACTAAAATACTTATAAATCATAAGATAATAAATAGAATTCTTCTATTTAAGGAACGTGATCGTCTACGTCGACAACTTGATACATTACAAAAACAATTATTTGAAAAGTATTTAGAACATCTGTTTTTTTTTTGATTTATTAATTAAGAATAATTTATTGTATAGTTCAACATCATCTGGTAATACAATGGCTGTATTACGTGAAAAAGAAGAACAAATACAACAATTACTTGAGGAAGGTGATAAATTATCAAAAACTCAATTACAACATACAAATATAATAAAAAAATTACGAACTAAAGAAAAAGAACATGAAACTCAAATAACATCATTAAAGTATGTTAATTCTGGTTGTTGTTTTTTTTTTTGTTTTGTTTTAATATTTTGAATAATTTTAGTGCTCGAATTGATAAATTAACAAATGAATTAGATGAAGCAAAGAAAACTTTACAAGAAAAAGAAGAAAATGAAAAACAATTAAAAGGTATATAATAATAGAAAGAAAAAAACAACAACAAAATATCTTTCCTTTTTTTCTATTGTTTATATATATTTTTCTATGTGTATAGAAAGTGTTAAAAAACTTGAAAAATCTGCAACACATTATGAAAAAGAATGTATATCATTAAAATCATTATATGAAGATGCTGAAGAACAAATTCGTAGTACAAAAGTTGCACTTGAAAATTCTTATAAAGAAATAACTGAATTAAATAAAACAAAAGCAGCAACTGAAAGTAAAGTTGTTGAAGCAACATTATCAGCTGAAATATTATTAAAAGAAGAAATTCGTTTGGCTGTTGAAAAAGAACGTATTATATCACGACAAGAACAAGATAAATTACAAATGACTATTGATGAATTAAGACATTCTATTCAACGAAGTGAAGCTCAACTTAGTCGAAAAGAACAAATTTTAAGACAAGAAATTAATGATCTTCGACAAGTACGTTCTTATTTTCTTCTCATATTATATCATATTTTATTAACTATGTTAGATTGACTATTGACAAGAATAATTGATTAAAATAAGAAATCACTTTTTAGATAAGACTTAATAGACATTTTTAGGAGTTTTCTAACAAAATGTTGTGATGAAGAAATACAAAAAAATTTATCTTGTTGAGAATATTACATGTGAAAAAATTTGACTTTGGAACTGGAAAATCAATTTTAAAGAGCGATGAAAGAGGAGAACCACAGAATTGTGTTGAAAACTGAGTCCTAGACATAGATTCCTTTGAATTTTTTCTAATTTTAATAAGACAAACTTGATAAAGTAAAACTTATTTCAAATGTGAGTTATTGTTTAGTAAGATTTCCTTGTGAAAATATTGTTTTTGAGATTTGTCTTTCAATAGGAAATTGTTATAATCCTAAAGAGTAAAGTCTCATTCTTATTTGTTTGATTTGATATTGAAATTAATACTTGAATGAGTATCTGATATCGGTCAAATTTTTGTGACTCGGCTCATCCATTTTCTGAACCGACCCGAGTTGGACTCTGATATTGACCGTTCTTACCTTTTTCTTTAGAAAATCAATAATTTTTCTGATTTTTTGTACTTGAAAACAAAGGATATATTTTTGAACTCTTTTCGTCTTTGATATTCCCCTCATATTTCGTAGTTGGTCTAACACGATAGTGTGATAGAAATTTTTTCTGGCTTGTCTCTCTTTTCTTATGCATACAAACTGGAACCTTTATATCAGAATTGAACTGACAGTACACAGTCTATGCATTATTATCCGAAGTCAAGAAAAAGTCGGTAAAGTACAAGAAAAGATCGTGCGATACATAGCTTCTTGTTCTATTAAGCTTTTCCATGCTCTCTTCTAGAACTCCGAAATGAAAGAAACATTCAAAATATCTTTTGTATGTGAGAAACGTTCAGACTGCAGATCCACCTCGAAATTCAAAATTTTTTTCGCAACTCGAGTCGGGCACTGTCGGATGCTTGTTACATTTATGCATAAAACAATGCTTTATCCGGATTTGATCTTCTGAAGGGGCAAATGACTGTTATTGGTAGTACCAATACACAGTACATACTACAAACAGAAACACAAACTCTGGAAGAGTCTTGCTGATCTTCGGAGGAATACCGCCCTGTCAGACTTTCTCATTGGATAGAATACTATTATAGACCTATGTAAATAAGACATCAATGATCATCAAAAAACTAATCTCCTTCTCAAAAAGTTGTTTTTTTCTCGATATTCATTTTACTGAAAAAAATTACAAGTATTTTAAATAATATTGATGTCCTTGTCATATGAATCTTAAAATCTTGTACATAATATTTATTTGCATGCATAATACAAAAAAGCAGAGAGCCTTTCTGTATGGTATTTTCAACAGATATCTCGAAAGTAATATATTTAAATTCAATCCATTCTCTAGTGCTTAAAATAACCAAACATCGATTTTATATAAATTTTAATCGAATCGAAATTAAAAACAAAATCATTTTAATTATATTTTAGAGACTTCAAGAAGCTGAATCAAGAAATGAAGAATTAACACAAAATATTTCTAATGGTAGATCCTCTTATTACTTATAATTAAAATCACGTGTCTTTTTTTTGTCTTCAGCTACACGTCCACTTCTTCGTCAAATTGAAAATCTTCAAACAACATATGTAACACAAATAAATTCTCTAGAAAAAACTGAACGTCAATTAACTGATCGTCTCGGTATATCAACAACAATAATAATAATCTAATAAAATAAAACAGTTTTGTTTTTCGTTTGTTTCAGCTGAAATGCAAGCACAATATGCCATAAGTGTTGAACATGAACGTGTAGCTAATGAAACATTATTAGAAACGAATGCTAAATGGAAACTAGCTGAAGCACAATTAGCAACATTCAAACAAGATAAGACACGTTTAACTTCAGAAATTGATATTCTTAAAATGAAATTTACTAATCTTGAAGATACTAGACAAAGGTAAAAAAAATCATCTAAGGTAGAAGAAACAAAGTTTAGATACGAAATATTTTTGACATTTTTTCGTTTAACAATAATAGCTAAAAACAAATCAGAGAAAAGATTTGATTCATTGTAACGTTTTTCTATCTGAAGAGGTACTTGTCAAATTTCTATTATAAGGCGTAGACGAAAGATCTCTAGAAAATCGAAATCAATTTTTTAGATTTTATCAGAAATGTTTTGCAAATAATTAGACGTGCTCGAACTCTTCATGGACTCTGTTCAGCTCAGGACAAACCAAAGAACAAGCCTTTTGTAGAATGATTGTCATTGATTGAAGACAGGTTACGAAGAGCTCAGACACATCTTATTATGTGCAAAACATTTCTGATAGAATCTAGAAAACTGTTTCGGGTTTTCTAGAGATCTTTCGCCTAAACCTGTTAATGAAAATTTGACAAATACCTCTTCGAATAGAAGATCAATATCAACTAATCAAATGTTTTGTTTGATTTGTTTGAATTACCATCATTAAGGAAAAAAACTGAAATACTTTATTTTTAAACATTTTTATTTTGCTTCGATTTTATATTAATTAAACTAAATCAATTATGAAATTTTTTGTCTAGAGAAAAAAATCAAATAGAAACAATGCAAGAAGCATTCACTCAACAAATCAATAGTCTCATACAAGAAAAGGTTTAAATTTAATTTTAAATTTAAACTTTTAGTTTTTTTTTTTCTAGCGACAACTTGAAGTAGATGCTGAACTTGAAAAAACAAAATATGAAAGTGATTTAAAACGATTACAGATTGTTCATGATGCATTAAAAGAACAAGTTAATAAAATACAAATTAAAAAAAAAAAAACTCATTGTTTTTTTTGTTTGTTTTCATAGCAAAATCTATTTGATGTACATTCAATAAGTCGTTCGAGTTCAAATCTTGAAAATACACTTCAACAACAACGTAGTCGACGTTCATCCGGTGGACATGATACACCAACATCATTTGCATTTGAACGTTCTCCAGTAATATAAAAAGAAAAAAAAACAAAAGATTAAATAGATTATTTCAATTTTTTTCATTTCAGTTTGTTCTAACACCAAAACCAAGTGTATATGAAGCTTTAAGAAATACAGGCGCTATAGCTGTACTTGAAAGTTTAGAAGCACAATTAAAAGAAAAAGAAGGAGAAATAACATTATTACAAGTATAAATATTTATTTATATTCGAAATAATTTTCTTTTAATATTATGTATTTTTAGAGTGAAATTTCAGATTTAGAACGTACACGAGAATCAATGGCACGTGAATTAGTTAATTTATCAACAATAAATGAAAAATTACAAGAACAAACACAAAATTATCCTATACTAAATGAACAATATAAAGTATGTTACGAAATAAATTAAGACAAAAAAGAAATTTTCTTTTTGTTTTAAATTATTAATCTATAGGACTTAGAAAGACGTTATGACGCTCTTTTAACAATGTATGGAGAAAAACAAGAAGAAGCTGATGAACTTCGACTTGATTTAGCGGATGTTAAAACACTTTACCGAGCTCAGGTTAGTTTATTCATTAGATAATATATCAATTTGAATTCAATATGTAACATTTTTTTTTGGCGAAAAAAAAATATTTATTAATTAGTAGTATTTATAAATTTTCACATCAATAGGATCATATTCAAGAGAATAAATATAAGTAATTAATTAATAAATATACCGAGCATGATTAAAGGTAATGAACGATTGAAATTTTAATTATATAAACAATACTTTCTATTGATCAATTTATGTCTATTGATTAGTCAATTTTTAATGAATCTAACATTAAGAAAAATCTACTCAAAGAATTATAGATAGATTTACAAATAGTTTTCATCATAGTAGTTTAAATAAAACGTTCCTAGACTTTAAATCAATAACTTTTGCAGAAACTCAAATGAAAACTATCATTAAAACAAGATTTTGAACAGATTCACGTAGATGATAAGATATAATAGAAAGATTCATTAGAGATTATATGAAAACCTGACTAATTTATGCTGCGTAGAATGAATAATGTATTAGTTTAGTTACGGATCATTCTTTCATGAACGGTTGTTGCATTTTTAGATTTATAATGTTTAATAGATCTGTGATGATATATTCAAGAAAAATAATTTTAAACAAGTTTTTTTTTCATAGGTCCACATTCGATCCGCTGATGATCCCTTTTCAAGTTTGTTCGATCGGATTGAAATTTTTTACTACAGATACTAGAAAGTATTTTCTAGAGATGAACTGAACTGTTTTCGTTTTGAACCGTTCTATCTAGCTTTATAGAGTCATGAATTCTAATACTCCTGCTTAGAATTCGAATCTTTATTAATTTCTCTCATGAAAAAAGAACGAGTCTTGAAAAGTTTCAGCCCTATCAGACAAAGTTAGAGGTAGGTCGTAAGTGTGCCCGATATAGTTCTATAGGTCACCAAGGTTTTCTCGAAACAATCGAGAAGGTCTTGTTTTCGGTTGTCTATCTGTATTAACGGATCATGTGTACTCTCTTGAATGAAAAAAAAAGAAAAGAAGAGGATTATTCTTAAAATTTTAAATTGATTTCTTTCCACTGAGTTCGATTAGTTTAGTAACAATATATTCCTAAGAAAAACTAATACATCTTTGATTCTCTTATTTTTATGCTTTGTTTTGTTGTTTTTAGATTGATGATTTAGTGAAGCAAAGTTCACAAATACGATAATCAATACGACTAAATCCCATCTTTTTATTCACTTATAATATCTGTGACCGACGATGCTGGATTTACTGTGATACAACTTTTTCTTTCTGATATTGTTAATTTATTATTTTCTCTCTTTTATTCTTATCTCTTATGTTTTTGGTTTCTTTTGTTTTCTCTTTTCTTTCTTTTCTTTTCTTTTTTTTTTTTTTTTTTTGGAAATATAATATTAAAAGAATAAATTATATTTATAAATAATCTATCTTTCAGATGTCATTATCAGATAGTTATTCATGTCGTTTATCAATATATTCATCATTAGAAAAACTTTTTTTACCAAATCCAACCATACCGTATCCATCACATATTTATATACATGGAAATAATAATACAGGAAAATCAACAATAATTAAGTATGCACTTAATAAACATAATCATACGATTTTATGGTTTGATTGTCGTGAAATATATTCATTGAATATGTTCTATAATACATTTATTTCCTTATTATCAAATAATACAAATCCAACAATGAAAAATTTCAATGATTTTATTCGAATATTACGTGATGTATCTATTCAAGATATGAATAATGTAAAAAAAAAGAAAACGAAATCATATTATTTTGTTGTACTTCATCATATTGAACTATTATTAAACTATGATACAACAGGACATTTACTTTATCTTCTATTTAAATTAAATGAATTAACATTAGGATATTTTCATCATTCACTTATATTAATTGGTCATCAACCATTTTATCAATTATCACAAATGAATCAAATTGAAGCTGAATTAGGTGTATTAACACCAATAACTATATTTGTACCGGCTTATACTCGTATGGAAATTGTTACAATATTACAAAATATTTTAACACGTATGAATTATTCTTTTGTTTTTATCTTCCTGAAATTTATAAAATGTGTTTTAATATTTATTGTTGTTCATTTGAGCAGAAGAACTCTTTACGATTATCATAGATCATTATATTTAATTCGTACCTAATAATTACAAAGTTTCATGGTCTATAGCTTTTAATATAGATGAGAAGATGTAATAATGTTATCATGTACTATTGTACATTCGTATATTTTATTCATTATTCAAAGAAACACAAAATTTTTCCATTCTTATTTAATATCATTTTTCATTTGTTAAATATTATTGTATCGCCGTCCTCGTCATTTTTCTTTGATTGCAACGCCAATAGTTCTGCGAGATCAACTACCGGCGAGCTTTACGCCACAATTTTTCAGTTCAAACGACTATGACTACGTGTCTACATCATTCAACAAGTATCCACAAGGTACTGTGTACAAGCCTTAATAGTACCAGCCATGGAACAATCCTAGATAAATTACTAACGGCTATTAGTAACGGATTATCCGTCCGATAGTATGCTTACTACGTTGTGGCATACACCTACTTTTGTGATTAGTTATTATGTATAAGAAAGAACTCTGCGTCAGGTCGATCTTCTGTCCTTAGCTACAACTAGTCATAGTTGCAGGATAGATATCGGACAATTGAATCTGCTGCAAGATAGCTGAAAGGCAGAGATGTTTTTCTTTCTTCCTTTTTGGTTAAATTCGACTAATAAAAACATGTCGAACGATACCCCAATTTACCTGAATCCTTTGTTTCAAATCTTAACCATCTTGAAAAACTTACTTTTTTCACAAATCAATAAATCGCTTAGCTGTCATTTCTACTACAGCAGTTCAAGTAAATTTTGAATATCTATCATCAGTAAAATACATTTTCTTACGATGGGCACTACTTTGTAGTTGGATGCACTCTAACCATTCATCGACAACTTTATCAATTAGAAGTTATTAGAATATTGATAAATAAAATACATGATAGTATTATAAGTTTCTCATGTAGAGTAAAAACTATATACCTGAAACTTTCTAATTACTTAATATTAGTTAGGTACAATAATTTATTAAAGTTCTAAAGACTTATGCTTGTATTGAATATAAAAATGATATGTTTTAAGGTCATTTCAGAAGTTCGAAAATATCCTTTGCAAAAGAGAAGAATTTTGAATATATTTTGTTTTAGAACAACAAGATATTCTTCCATCTTCTATTAGTCAATTACATATTATAATTGAATTAGCACTACAAATTTTTTATACTGTTACCAATGATCTTGTCGAATTAAAAGATATGACAACAATGTGTATTAAAGATTTTTTACGTAGTAATACAAAAAAACAGGCTGATGATGATGGAACTAATAATGACTATCGAATGCTTTATCAAAAAGAATTTTTTATGCAGGTATTTATTTGAAATAGATTTGAGTTTTTTTCCTTACTTGAAAGTCTGTGCTTAAGATTCATATGAAAAAGTTTTCAAAATGAGTTTAAATACAAAAATTATTTAAGCAATTCTAACGATTGATTAAATACTTTATTAAGTTTTCATACTAATAAATCTTCTTGTAGAATTTGTTTTTATAGAGAAAAAGGGCAGTAAAACGGACTCTTCAAGAAAAAAAAATGATTATAAATTGATCTCTCTACCTCATAACCATTAATATTTTAATCATTAAAGGTGAAATGGTGAACTAACTGTCACTCAAGTAATCGATTCACATTTCGACATCACTTTGAAATTATTTTATGATGAATTAATAATAAAGGTTAAAGTTGAAAAATTAATTTGTTCTAGAATTTCGACTTATTTCGTTTAGTCTAAACTCTTCTCGTTCCAAACAAGAAGAGTTTTCATAAGAGTGTAATCCATCGTCAATATCTTTTATTTCTTAAGTAAGATTCTTTCCTTTCAAAGACAAAATTAATTCACGAAAACGATGATATCTAGTTAATGTTTTGAGATATTCAATTGATAATAAAATAATTCTAAAGTGATTTCGAAATGTAATTTGATTGTTTGAATTACAGTTAGTTTATGATATCATTTTTTAACGATTCAAATATCAATTTAATAGCCATTTTGAAGAACGTGTATTACTGTACTTTATTTTATCTATAAAAAACAATTCTGCCAGAAGATTTATTGATATGAAAACTTCCATTAAACAAATTGAAAATCTTGAATTAGAAATTTTTAAAAGAGAAATAGATAATTTTGAGACTATAAAACATAAGAATTAGATAATATTTATTCTTCATATTATAGGTTCTTAATTCTGTTTATACTCGTTCAATGAGTATTCCAAAATTTCTTGATACACATACAGCTGATGAAGAAACAACAGATAATTCATCTAAAATGTCTAATATAAATAATAATGCACGTGATCTTCCATTATCAGCAAAATTTCTCTTGATTGCTATTTATTTAGCAACACAAAATCCAATAAAATATGATCTTATGTTATATGATAAACAAAGTCAAGGTAAAAAAAGTCGACGTGCTAAAATAATGCATAAACGAACACAACTTGAATCATCAAAAATTGAATATTTACCATTATCATCAAATAAACCAATATCACTTAATCGTCTATTAGCTATTCATTGTTCATTACAAGGTGATTCACTACCATTAACAACACAAATATATACTCAATTATCTTTATTAACATCAATGCGTTTAATTGAGCTTGTTGGAAGTTCAAATGAAACTGGTATTATTAATTTAAATGAACCTAAATATCGTTGTACAAGTTCAAGTGATTATATTCGACGTTTAGCTGCATCAATTGACTTTAAAATTGATGATCTTATACTTGTCTAAAATTCTCAAATAGTCAGATATAGATAGAAATATATATATAATATGTATTTTCATTAAAAAAAAATGTTAGATAATAAAAATGAATAGATTGCATATATAAACAAATATTAAGCTTTATTTTTAAATGTTTGATAACAAAGTGAATATTGAAAAAAGATTTTTTTTTTTTTATGTTCGATATATGAATAAGAATGTTGATAATATCATAAGAATTATTGTTATAACAATCTAAATAGTAGAAATTTCGAATATTATTTGTTTATATAGAAATAAAAATCTATACCTTCGATTGTTCATAAAATAAAATTATTGCTGAAACTCTTAAATAAGCTAATGTACAAGGAATATACGATTCATCAGATTTGGCTGTTTTTAATTTTCGACAACTAAAATTTAAAAACAACTATTAATTAAAATATTGATCAGTTTAATGATAAAACATCGAATAATAAGAACTTCGAAAAATCTATTTATTTAAATTATGTTAAGAGAGTAAAGTTAACAATATGATGATTGGCAATTTGATAAAAATATAATTGTCATGAACAACTATAGATAGTAGTACAGATGTTTAAGATTATCGTGCCTTATCGAGCAGAATACAGTAAAGGTAAGAAGTAGAAAATTTGTCTCAGTTAAGATACAGGTTACAACAAAAGATTCAAGGCTAATTTTTGTATGGCATTTAAATGAAATACAATCAATGCTTCTGTTTTTTTTTTCAAACTTACATTTTAAAGCATGTAATAGTAAAGCAGATCAGACAAAAACACTTGCAACGTGCATATAAAGAAATCTGCGAACATTTATGTTAATTGAAATGGAACCTTCGAAAGAATAGTTTCTAATTTGTTGTACTGAGAAAAGTTTAATAGCAAAAAAAAAAAAAAACAGATGTTCACGAAAAAAGACGTTACATTTTGAGTTTATTCTCTGTTAGAAATATTTAATAGACGTATAATCTTATTTACAGAAGCCGACAAAAAATATTGATGCGTGTACAAGAATTGTGACGCCAGGAGAAAAATAGTATGTGGTCCTACTGAAACCTTGTGGCTTTGCCATCTATGACTAATGTGTTGATAAGAAACTTGATTGAAGATAGTTTCTCATTCGATATATTCTCTCAATTCAAACTCGAAATATTCTCATATGAGAAAAAATAACTCAAGAAACTTTTGAAATTGATTTCATTTTTATAACTTTTTATGTAATATATCCAGACATATCTACTAAAAAAAAAAAAGCCTAGATAAATTTAATCATACTGTTGATAAACATATTGTAATCGTCGATATCGATTTGTTATAATTTTTTCATTAAATCTAATACCAACTTCTACCCAAATATGCAATGGAATAGTATTATTTGAATTAGATTCTTCTTCTATTTGAGCTAAATTATATAAACCCTAAATTTAATATTCATAAAACAATAATCAATATTTTTCATCATCTATTAAAATTGAATTTCTTTACTTGAGCATCATCATTTTGATGTAATTGAGCATAAAGTTGTATAGCTTTTGTAATATTTCTTTGTTTCCATTGATAATATTCAGCAACATTTAATAAAGCATAAGAATCAGTATTTCGATTTTTACCATGTACCATTAAATATTTAGTAAGTAATTGTTCGATACAATCAAATGTACTGTCATTATTTAATTCTTTTAATTCATTACATAAAAAACCAGCATTAAAATATCCAAGTTCAATACCAGCTAATGCAGTTTGCATATAAAATATAAATGATGTATGCCTATGAATAGAGAAATAAATAGATTTACGAAAAAAACTAAAAATAAAACAATCATATATTTTGTACCATCGTCGATCTCGATAAGCTTCAAGTGCTCGTCGAACAATTGTACCTACAGCTGAACTTATTTCAGCAACATTACGTGACCAACTAAATAAAAACATTATTTAATATATCTATCAAGATATTTAAACTTACATAGCAGCAAGCCAAGGATTTCTAATAATAAGAGGATGACCACCACGAGCATTATAATAAGCAACAACAACTTTTGAATCAATTTGTTCATGTTGTGCAGCAAATGAATAATATTGCCAAGCTTGAACATGATCTACGGTAAAACTTGGTGGATAACGACCTGCTGTCCACATAACACCCTAAATAGAATTTTATTTTGTTTACATAAGAAAAAATCGAATTGAATCGAAACTAACAAGATTGTGAGCACAGTATGCATCATGTGTATGTTCAAAACATTCTTTCCAATATTGTGCAGCTTTTGTATAATTTTTTTCTATTTCATACGCATGATATCCTTAATGAAGCAAAACAGAATATTAAATTCAATGAAATTCTTTGTTCTTTTTTCTTTGATAGAAAACCTAAAGCAACTTTTGCACCAAGAAAACCTCGTTCAACAGCTTTTTCAATTTGTCGAACGGCTTCAGTTACATTTTGTTTTGTACCTTGTCCCTAGGTTATATTTCATATATGAATCATAGAAGAAAAAAAATGAGTTAACTTTACTTTAAGAAGAGCTAATCCATAACCAAAATGTGATGAAGCATCATTTTGAGCAGCACCTAAACGAAAATATTCCACAGCAGCTTGAATATTACGTGTTAAACCATTTCGACCAGCATACATTAATGCACCTAAATGATGCTAAATAAAAACTTACACAGTTTTCTTTTTCTATTTCTTAAAAAAAAAACAATTAAAATAAAATTACTTGAGCGGATGCAACACCACGTTTTGCTTGTTGTTTAAGCCAATAGAATGAATCACTTTTATCAAATGTAAGTTCACCAAGAAGTTTCTTATCAGTAAGACGAATATATTCCATGGCTGCCTAGATTAGTATTTTTTTTTAATTAATGAAAAAAAAGCTGTTAGCATAATGAAGCAGTTTATATTGATGTGAAGAACCAGAAGGGCATATACAAAAATATTCTTTTCTAGAATTTAGTCGTTTGAATAAACAATTGTATATATGACCTATTATCTTCTAAAACAGCACTTTTCAAAGTTTCACTGCACTTCATACTTGAGAATACTAAGGCTTTAACCTATAAATTGAATTAAGCAAAGAAACAAACAAACAATCTGCTCACGTAGGGACTTTATATAAAAAAAAAAAACACTCAACTTAATTCGATTTCAAACACAACAGAAAAAAGGTTTATACTTCGAAATATTATAACGGAAAAACTTCCTATTAAGCTGAAATTATCACTTAATACTTTCACATATATATACTAGTAATAGTAGTAGTACCAATCCATGGAACTTTTTCTATGCTATTTTACAAGTTCTTAAAAATTCGAAAGCTTTGTTTAGAAATCCACGTTTAGACATTCGTATCACAACTTGAAGAGAAACTAATGTGATGCTTGGAATCAGCTTGTTAAGTTGCATTGAACTATATATTTATATATAATAGCTGTTGAAAAAACTTTTGGTTTATTTTTAATGCAGAACCTACTCTGACAACCTATTACTACGGACTTTGTAAGGCCTACAAAGGAATTATATCCCATCGAGCTTAAATTTTCACTCGATACTCCTGCATAGTCATTCTAATGACGGTAAATGCACCAACTCGTAAAAAAAAATTATCGAGACGATTTTAGAGTTTTCGTAAAAATTCCAGTTTTTTGTTCGAAAACCCGATTTCAAGTGTCTATAATACACATTGAAGAAATGTTAAGGTTATTTTCGAAATTAGTATATTAAATTGTGTTGAATAATATAAAGCTCAAAATAGTTTTAAAAAAAAATCTTTTACTTCTTTATTAACATACGATTATTGCTGAGCAATAGAATGCCTTTTCCAAGCTAGAAACTTGCATTTCAAACTTCCCACTGTGTGAGTCAGCGAATTCAAATTTTTACTACTATATTTTCGACACTGCTTTTATACTATGTTTCATAAAATTTATCATTTAACTAACTTCGCCTGCTTTTGGATTATAAAATTCACGTCTAGATATTTCAGCCATTTGTTGATAATAAACTAAAAAGTAATCAAAAATTTAATATTAATATCTCAAAAAAAATAAATAAATAAATAAACCAAACCATATGCAGTATCATAATCAATTGGAACATCATCAAGACCATAAAAATGTCGATGTCCAAGTGCAAGTAAACTGATTCGATCATTATGTAATGCACCCGTAATCAATAATTCAAGCGCCTATTTATTTAAATAAAAAAAAAACATAAAAAATGGATCGTTTTATTTTTAATTTAACTAAACTTTTACTCTATATATTGAGTATATTAACTATAATTCTTGCTATTACAGTATTCGTTTTATCTATTCTTACAGCACAACGAACAACAATAAATAATCATGAAAAATATGCACCAAAAAAATCTGTCATTATTAATGATTTTTATTTTCTCATATCGATTTGTATTAGTGGTTCAATATTAATTATATTTATATCTTTATATGGTATTAATGCTGTTTATTTTGAATCAAAAATTTTTCTTATTATTCATGGTTTACTTCTTTTACTTATACATTCATGTTCATTACTTATTGCTTCAGTTATATTTTTTGATGAAAGACAAATTGGTTCACCGGCTTCATTGTTTTTTAAAGTCAAATATTTTTTAATGAAAAAATGTTGTTTTCGAAAAAAAAAAATTTCCTTATCATTTTTATTTAGGCTCATTATGATTATGCATTATTAACTTATTCACATCAACCTATACATAATAAATCATTATCATATAATGATCTTTATTATTATGGAAAATTTTCTTCAATGATAAATATTACATTTGATATAATATTAGATCGTGTTCATAAACGTCTTCATTGTTGTGGTCTTATGGGTACATCAGATTTTGCTGAATTACATATACCTATTCCACCATCTTGTTTTAATGATAATGGTACATCATATGAATCATCTTGTTTATCTAAATTTCGTTTAGAATCAATATATAAAGCTCAAATATTTGCTATATGTATTTATATAATGGGAGTTTTAACATTAGTGTCATTTTTAATTGATCTTATTTTATTACGAGAATTTTTACAGGATCAACTACTTGAACATGTTATTGAAAGATTAACTAATTTTTCGAAGACAACTGAATCTATGAATGAAACGAAATCTCAACAACAATATAAATCACTTAAACCTCAAGTACAACAATATATTATTGATTATTTACTTGAAAGTACTATGTAATAAGAAATATACATACTCGTGTTGCATTAGATTTAAGACCACAAAGACCAAATCGATGAAATGTAGCAAGAAGTGAATGTGCTGATGAATGTCCATAACATACAGCTTGTTCAGACCAAGCAATAATACGATTGCATGATAAATCAAGATCATCACTTTCCTATAATATATATATGTTAATGTTATTTGTTTAACTTAAGTATAAAAATTGCCACTTACAAGAAGTTTTTGTGTTAATTCAAAAAGTTTATTAGCTACATCCTGTGTAGAATTCATTTTTCGTCGTCGTAAAGCTCGAAAAACACGATAGCGAATATCCGTAGATAATGCCGGTAACGATAATTGTCGTTTCCATGTACGAATAAGAAGACATTGTCGATTAGATTTATTCAATGGAAATGGTTGAGCATTACATGTAACTAAAAATTGATTTAAAAGACGTAATATTAAAAAAATACTACATATATATAATAATAAAAAACCTACATTTTTGTTGAATGCGTTTATTAAAAAGATCATACTGTTCGCGGCATTGTCTAAATAAATGTAAATGACGTTTACAGTCGCTTGATTCTTGAATTATAGATGGTAAATATGGCATAAATGATATATCGAGTCTTTTTGGTAACTATAATAAATAAATTAAAATAAAATTAACACAATAAAAAAAAAAAAAAAACTTGGTCATAAGTAAGCGCTATTCGTCGATATATATCCATTTGACTAATAAATCCTCGAAATGATGGCGTAATATCACTACCACCAACGATAAATGTTCCAAATTCATCATTAAAATGATAATAAATAGGAGAACTTAAATAGATAATTTTTAATTAATTTCAAATCAAAAAAAGAACAAGAAAACTAAAAGTGTTACTTATGATTAGCTTTGATAGGTTTATCCCATGTTTGAAGACAATTTATATAAATATTCCACTATAATACAAAATAAAATAAAACGAAAATTTTAAATGAGATTATATATACATTATATTCATTAACAATAAAAGCTATTCGACACCAATCTTTTTTTGGTATTGATGCAAGAGTTCGTGCTCCTGTTCCTTTTAGATCATATATATGTCCATACATATTTACTACAATTTGACCTTAAAATAAAAGTACAATTAAATAATTAGACTCTTTAATACTGAACATAGACAAAACAAAACCTTCTCGATTAAGAAAAATTTCTGGAGTTAAATGTGTATTATTAAACGTTAAATGTTGTAAAATAGAACACTGAATTGTAATTGATTCATTAGCACAATATTCATCAATATATAACCAAAATATGATTGAAAATCTATATTAATTTCAAAGAAAATATTTAATTATTAATAAATGAATATAATTTTACTTTGGTCGTATTAATTGAATTTGTTGTTCTAACCGAAGACTATAATCTTGATAAGTTGAAAGAACGAAATATTTTCCATAAACACTACCTGTAAGTACCAATGGATAATTTATGATTCGTACTACTTCTATTTAAAGAAAAAAGAAATATTTATTTGATTTCATATGTATATTTCAAAAATCTTACCGGGTTCGTTATGACAAATACCATCAATTGTTTTATTTATAAAAGGATTCCATCGAAATGAACGAAAACTTGGTCGTTGATGTACTGGTAAAAATCTTACATTATATTCAAGTTTTTTCAGAATTTCATTTTCATTTTCTTGTTTATTTTTATACATTATTATTTTTAATCGACCTTGTTCAATAGGCCATGATTGTAAATTTAATGCAGAATCCGAAGCATATGCTATTGAACGATGTAAATGTACACGTACATAACGAATTTTAACATGAGTTGATTTATGACAAAACCAATATCGACGAAAAACAGCAACATTTGTATGATATAATGTTCTTTCAATATATATAGATAATGATATACGACGTTGTGTTAATGATGAACATTTATATAGAATAGTTAAATAAATTTTATCATTATGAAGTATTGATGGAATATATTTTACATCAATATAATCGGGTTCATTCGATATTATTTGATCATATTGATTTGTTATTTGACATTGTATTAAATATAAGAAACTTATTGAATAAATGAAAAAGAAGACAAAATAATTTTTGCTTATCATAGTTAGAAGAAAATGATGATTGAATACTTTTTTTTCAGAAGAAAATAACGTTAAAAATGAATAGATACATCTGGTGCCATACTGCACACATAGATAAAAGACAATAAGACCAAGAATAGTCTATATTCATTTTGAATACGTAATAGAAATGAATTTTAAATAAAAATTTCTTGCTTATTACGTTTTGATCAACATAAGAGAAGCAATAGACCAACAAAAAGATACACATATCTTTTTTCTATTTAATAACTCATTAAATAAACATTCGATAATATGCTAGAGTCTGATGTTATAACTCATATTGGGCTAGCAAAGGGATGACATGACCACCGAGTAAAGTGCCACATAAACCTTCATTGAATTCAAAAAATACACTCATTTTCCGGCCATCTGTGTCGCCATTATACTAGAAAATGCCAGACAATTTCCATTTTGAAATATAGGAGAGTGCTGTGATCATAACCTATAATATTTTACTTCTATAGTCTAATGACAGTTCAACTTGATGATTGTCTCGAATAGGGCTGTACAGCTCACGTTCATGTGAGCGTGAGCGGTGGTCGCTCACGCTCATATGAGCGCTCATGAGCGTGAGCGTTTTCTGACTTAAAGAAAGTACGAGTGTCTCTGATCACTTTTTTCAACTTTGTTCCTCGAAAATCGATATTCATGATTTTTGTGCCTGGGGTCCCCCTCAGGTATCATGAAAAAAAAATTTTTTTTTCACGAGTCAAAATCAGATGTAATAGTAGATTGAGAGGTGCTGATTAAGAATATCACAATGAGAGCTCTCAAAATCTTTTTATTCTTGGAATAGTCCTAACCACTTTATGCACCATATTCTTCATTATTAGGGTCCTCATAGAATATTTATTCATTTAAATTTAGCCAGAAACATCTTTCTTACCCAAAATTTCGAGTTCTCTACGGTTCTGAGTTTGTTACTCCAAAAAAAAACGTAATTTTTGGGAAAAAAACGGTCATTCCAGTGCCAAAATGGACCTTTTTTAAGTACATACAATTTTCTTCTGACAGCTTTTTTTGGGAAGTCACCGTTATCATAACATGAAATTTAGACCATTAGACTAATTTTTCAAGCTCTCACGATTGGCAACCATAAAAATAATTGAAAATGTCTATAACATGGTCAAAAACTCTAAATTGTGGTAAGATTCGCCTTTTCCCACTAGATTTGTCTATATATGTTTAATATTTAGCATGAAAACAGTTTTCCTTGGGCGTCAAACTCGAAGTATACATCTCGCTTTTCAAGTTCTATTGATTTGTAGTCGTGCAGAACTAGAAAAGAGGTATAGCACGGTGAGAAGTGCAAAATATACTCAAATTTGACATTTCTTCTAAGTTCGGCTATAATGGGTTAGTTTTCAGTATCAAAGTAGGGTTGTTGGAGCACCATAGTCGAATTAAATTAGTACTTGTCTAAGCTCTCTTGATTGGCAGTTTGAGAGATAAAATAAATGCGGGAACCTCGGATTTAAATCCGAGAGTTATGTGTACTTCAAAAAGTGAATGAGACAGAGGAGNATTTACATCCGTAACTACACGGAAACTAATAGTTTCAAAGATAGTTCATCAATAGCTTTGATGAAATAAACCTTCGATACCTATGCTTTTTGTATATTTTTTTTATTTATGTTTGTGAAATAAAATAAACATACAATCATGTTGATTATACATTTGACATACATAACTACATTAGCCGTCATTTTATGTAATTGTATGAGTAATAAAGGCAGGTTGACTAAAAGCTGACGAGAGAGGAAACTATTATACAGATGTTTTTATTTGTAAGTTATATCTATTCGAGTAATTTTGTCAACAAAGTGCAATAATCGGTGTCACGTCACTTTCAATATCTACCTTCAACTTCTTGAATACAAATTATTCATAAATAAACGCCTCAAACGAGAGTAGCTCAGTGTGAAGGGATCATGTTTTCTAGTGTCATCTATGGTCACATATTTATATTGAAAATTGTGGTATGCGAAACAAACGAAACTTCGTTTGTTTCTATATCTATGTATCACAATTGAAGATACTCATGATTCTGATAATTTCGTAGTAAATAATTATTTTTGATAATTTTATGCGTGCAAAATTCCAAGTCGAAATTTGATTTTACACGTGTTTTTGAGAGAAGTATAGCAATTTATTATAGAACTCCCTAAAACTGCTATAGTGGAACAAGAAAGAGCTCATGAGCAAGAATCTTTTAGGTCTTTGTTTAGTGTCAACACGAGGAACTCAATAGGGTTATTCGCATCTCAAAATTGATTTTTCACTAGGGTGGCTTCTTTAGATAAAACAAGAGAGATTCATAAGATAGAAGTGTACTTTTCTAACAAGACAAAATTAACTTGATATAATTATATCAGATTTTTTAAAATTATGTTTCAAAAAACAGACAAAGAGACAGAAATATGTTATATGTCAAGATGATGACTCAGGTACACTTAACTGATATTCCTCAAAAATATCATTGAAAGTTTGAAACGAAAATACGTGCACATAATTTTCGGTAAAAATTATTATTGATTTAATGGCTAACACAAGATCCGATTTTCTATATCATTTTAGGCTCCACATATTAGTACGTAGTGTTTGTCAAAAAGCGAGATATTATTTAATTGAGCGCTCTCTTGAAAATCGTCCAATTTCGTTAGAAAAAAACGAAATTAAGTTAAATGGGTAATTGAATACTTTGAAATGTGTACGCTAACAATGAAGTTGTTTGCGTTTTTAGTTAATAAAACTAGATACGCTCCGTTCAAATTAACGTACTCATTTCTAAACTAACAAATTTTAAATATAGACTGCCGTTGACATGCATGAACCAAAATATTCAGATTTTATGGTATTTACAGCAAATAGAAGATGCTTGTAATTCAAAGTTTTAGCAGTGTTCTTTTCTCTTTTTTTTTGTCACGGTTGCATAGAACTTATTATGTTACATAGGAACAACTATGCTTTGAATGAAAAAGAATCTTTTTATATCAGTTAGAATTTTAGGTGTATTTTCGTTCTATTGGAAGATGTTTGTATCTTAGACGTTTTTCCCGATATTGTTTTTTTTTGTTTGAAAAATCCTTTGTCTTATGCAACTTGATGAACTCTATCTAGCCATCACATAAAAAGAAAAAAATATTCTACTGAAATGTTGAATTGCGAGCATTTTATTTATGCTGTGGAAATCATAACATTCGAATATCTTGGTCCGTGCAGACCGAATGCCATCTATATTCTCTGTTTGCTAGTTTGAAAACAAGAGTTTTCATTGGACTCGAATATCTCTAACCTCGTAAATTAATAACAGAAAAACCTCTATTATAAGAATCAATATGATTTAGAAGTGTCTTTTCTTTGAAAAGTTGATTTTTCCTTCAGAAAAGTTAATTTTCATTGCAAAATTCAATTCTTCGGAAAAAATAGATTTTCTAGCGAAAATAACTCATTTTATGCAAAAGAATTACTTGTTGAGGACAAGAGATAGTGAGATAGCCTATGGTATATACTATTTAGATCAAATAATTATTACTAAGTAAGTCATTCTGAACTATGTCTTGAAATATTTTCATCTTTCAGCAATCTTTTTACAGAATTATTATTATCATTACGGGAAAATTCAGTTAAAAAAATTGCTAGCAATATCAAATAGTCTATGTGTTGGAGATTGTTTTCAACAAACAACTACTAAGACAAACTACAGAGTCTGTAGCAATGTCTGAAAATAACGCAAAATTTACCATGAAGCATGCGAACTAAATACTTCGTGGATATGAACAATAATCAAAATGTGATCTCTGTTTATTAGAAAACGAAAGAAAAATGGAAAAATTGTGTTTCGATAGTTTAGTTGTCTTCATTCTAATGTTTCTATTCTCGACAATGTGGATTGTAATACGCTAGATGTCTGATAGTGCGTGCATATTGGCCGCCTCCAAAGCCGCAGTTAGACCCACAACTTCTTGAATTGTATTTCATCAAAGTCTTGATAAAATCATGTTCTTTTTTTTTGTTTCTTTTTTCCAACAGTAACTCATACATGTCAAACTTGAAAGTTGAATTCAACTATCCAGCTATCCGAATTATTCAAGTAAGGATGTCCAAGTATTCGACGTTCCGAAAGAACGGACACATGCGAAAACACAGACACAGCATCGCAACTGATCTAAGTACCGAAAAAGGACTATTACTTCAATAGTTGAATATCTTTACTTCAATTATATAAATAACTGAATATTTTATATTCAATTATTCGGTAATTGAATAGTTGATTATCTTTATTTCAACTATTTGAATAGTGAAACATTTTTATTTCAATTATTCAATAATTGAGTCGTTTAATGTCTCGACTTCTACTATTGAATAATTGAACAGCTGAAAAAAATCTTCAATAATTGAATTCAACTTTCAAGTTTAACACTACTGACGATATTTGTTAGGAAACATGAACAGAGTTTAGCAAAAGTATAATCTTAATATCGAACATATTTCTATCGCTTTATCGACTTTTCTAATAATAATTGCCAACTTCAACATTATTACTTAAACTTAATTCAATTTTGTTAAAAAAGTACTATTCTTTTACATGAATTTCTTTTGTGCTTACGATAGAACATGACCAAGTGGATAGTTACGTTTGAGATGCGACTTGTCTCGTTAAATAGGCTCTCCCAACACTAGACCAACTATTAAAAAGATTCTTCTTCATAGGATCATTCTTACTAAGTTGTGGCGATTTTAGTGAACTTTCTATTGACTTCTTATGCTTCTTTTAAGATCACGTTTTAAATCGAATTTTAATATCCAATTTTTTACAAATAAAGTTCTCGAATATAATTAGTTCATTGTGAAAGTATCCAAACCGCAAGTACGTTCAATTGTAACATATAGATATAAGAATGCAGTTTCGTTTTTCTTCGCATAACACAATTCTTTATATAATTATCGGAAGATACGTAATGATAGAAACTTACACAGAACTACTCTCGTTTGAGACATTTATTTGGGGAAAAAGTTCAATTCACAAAGTTGAAACTGATCTCAGGGACACTACGACACTTAATTCGAAAAACTTCCTTAATTGGACACAATTTGAGAAGAAAGATGTGTGCATAAGAGCTTTTGTAGGCTTTCTATAGTCATAATGAAGTAGCATTCATTAGAAAAGTGATATTATCGCTTAACAACAATCTCTCATCAATTTTTATTCAACCTGCCTTTATTACTCATATAATTACATAAAATGACGACTAATTTGGCTATTTAAGTCAAATGTATAATCAAAATGATTGTATGTTTATTTTATTTCACAAACATAAATAAATAAAATATACAAAAAGCATAGATGTCGAAGGTTTATTTCATCAAAGCTATTGATGAACTATCTTTGAAACTATTAGTTTCCGTGTAGTTACGGATGTAAATGTCTGACGTCTGTCATCTTGTTGAGACGTTACTTGACGATGATAACAATGACAACTACGAAATAAGTTTCTAAAATCTTGTCTAAATTTACTCGAAACAACTAAATAAAGATAAAATGGAGCACAACTATTGATTATAACAAGAAATGGTGATGAAAAAAAAGTAATAAATGATTCAATACGAATTCGGTCAGGAGTTTTTGGATAATTTGATGTAATTGTTAAATAAGTTATATTAATTGAAAATGGAAGACTAGTAATAACATAGAGAATAACTTCATATATGATCAATATTGTTAATTGTTGATCACGTCTGCTAATACGTTGACGATTTAGCTTTATAACATCACCTTTAACATGATTATTATCAACATTTCTCGAAACAATTCGTCCTCTTATCTAAAATGTATAATATATGTACCTATCAATGTATAAATTTATCTTTTCATACTTTTTTCAAGTTTCGATATGAAATAATACCACATATTATCATAACTATTGGTGGTGGCCATCCACAAGCTACAATAGAATATACACTAAAAAACTTTGCATATGTACCCGATTGTGGAATACATCGATCAAATTCAATTCGAAAATAGATAGCTAAATGAATAGGTATTAAAAGCCAAACAAATGTTATAATAAGAATAGCTCGACAAGCAACATGAGTTTGACTGAATGAACGTATCCGTACATTACGACTACACATAGCTGCACGATCTAGACAAGCAGCCATCTTATACCAGCGATAAAGCATAAGTAAAGCATTAAATATATAACTACGAGTTTTACACCAAATAAGTGAGATTTCTTGTTTTTCAACAATAGTTGCTGAATAGACAGTAAATGGTACAGTACATTGAATAAGAATAAAATTAACAATTGTAATCGAAAGTAAATAAAGTGAACATGAATTTCTTCGATGTGTACGTTGAATAAGTACACAAAATAAAAGAAAATTGCCAAGAGTACCAAAAAAAAGAAAAGTCGATAGACCATATAAAGTGATAATTCTTTGAACTTGTGCAATTGATGTTGACATTAGATCGAATCAATATATATTTGTTGTTTTTATGTTTCTAGAAGAAGGAAAAAAAAACGAGATGTGATTGACCTGTATTTATATACAGTTTTATCCGTGCATCATAAGTAGCTTCATAAAGGATTTTTTTTTATTTCTGTTCCATAGCTACTTTGCGAAGGCAAACCGAATATGGCGAGTGGATTAAAATGGTTGATTCCTGTATTGTAAAAGTCAAATATAGTTTCAAGTAATTTTCTGTTTAATTACCAAATAATAGTGACAATAAGTGTTTATAAAACTAATAGATTAGAACAATAACAGCGTTTATATTTATTCTCATTTTGCCTCAAGAAGAATAAATTATCAATAATAAAAATTATCACCGTCGCATGTTTCAAATTATATTCATAAAAATAATAAGCTATTGAGCAAATTTTTTATGTAAAATAGGCTCTAGTGACATTATAAAAGACTAATAAAAGTCCTTATTTTTAGATGTGATAAATTTTAGATTAGAGCTGAATAAGACTTAGAACTATAATTATTATTGTTTAAGAAATATTTTAATTCATCTATCCGACAGTATAATCACAGGGAAATTATATATATAATTTTATTGTAGAAAAATGAGGAACAGTTGATTTGTCCTCAGGAAAATAATTGTTTCGTTTGTTGAAATTCAATTCATTGACGTATACATTATGAAGCTTCTTAGATGAAACTATAGACGAACGTAATAATATTTTTATTGGTGAAAAAATAAAATGCTTAAGACAGATACAGAAGCATTTAGTCTAGTCTAGTAACATGGAACATCTCATTCTTATTTATTCTTTATCAAAGAACAAAACGAGTATTTAAATGAAAAATGGTGGAAGAGAACATGTCATTCTAAATTCATAACTAAATAAAGTGAAGATAGTAATGACTTTTTGGAATTTTTCTAAATCATTGAAACTTAATTGCATATAAATGGTTGTTTTGAAAGAGTATTTTTCTTTCAGAATGGTTCTTAATATAGAAAAAAATAATGAGAAAAGAAAGACAAAACAGATGTGCGGAATTTCATTCCTATACTATTCTAGATAACATAAACATGCAGTGTGCAAAAATTGAGAAGTCGGTTTTTTTTTTGGTTTTTTTTTGTATGAATGGGCCACCGAATAATGAAGAAAAGTCACTATAGATTTTTACTCTAATTTCTAGAAAATTTTTCATTTTGAGTAAACGCGACCTAATATGAAACCTATACAAATTCTAGTGTCGTGCAATTGAGTTAGGTAGCCGGCATCTGACACGGCCCTGACCATGAATCTGAGTATAAACCCGCCGGATTGGTTCGGGTATCTGATATGATCTTATAATCGAACTCAATTCAACGATTAATGAGATTTCGACTTCTCAAAAAATTTTACTTTTTCAAATTGTTAGTCATATAAATGCATAAGAGACAAAACAAGTACGATAATGATTGAGCAATTTGTTGTACTTGAGAACACATCATAGCATTGGAAAGTGATATTGTTTTACGAAAACAAAATCGTTTTTTGATGAAAATTCATGAACAGATGATGATGATGAACCATATGTAGAAGTAACTGAATATATCAAGAGACATGAATTATCAAACAAGTGAACATGTATTATCTCCATGGAAAAAGCATTCGTATATTTATTTATAATTGTGAGATATAATACTAACACTGCATTCCATTTCAGTGTCATCAGCAACAAACAAACGTATACTTAGCGAAATTAATCGGATTTTAGAAACAGAAAGATACCAAGTTAATCCAAACTTTTTAATATAAAGTAAAAGTTTGAAAACCATACTGTAACTGTGCAAGTATTAATCGGATGCCGATTAACTCTGATCCGGTACGGATACAGCTATCCGAGTCTGGCTCGGACTAGGATATAAAAAAAAAAAGAATGCCGCTCTAGATCCAGTTGCGAAAATTAGCACTCATGCAGGACACTAATATACATTTACTGAAAGTCTGAAGATTGAAATATTTTTTATGTTTTGTATTATTGTTATTTATTTTTAAAGTTAATGATGATGAATTCGTAAAAGGTATCTTTCTTTCTTTTCTTTTTTAATCTACTAAATTACTAAGTCTTGATAATATAAGTTTCATAGTGTTAGAGGCCGTATAATACAAATATATTGAGGTTGCTGAATCTTGATGTTATTTAATTGAGTTTTCTTTGGCGCTGATTCTAAAACGTTAAGTAGATCATTATTGTGTTGTTTTTCTGACTCAATGATTTCATAGAACATAACTCAAGCAAAAGTTTGTATTTTTCAAAAGTTATAAACGATTAATTGAAGTGAAGAGAAAAATAGTTTTTTCTTTTGTCCTACTAAATAAAAATATAAAAAGAATATTATATATATTGAACTTAAGTTTGTCTTATGCAATTAAGTTTTCATTTATTTTTAAAATAATGTTTATCAAAACAAGAATCATTCGCTCATATTTCATAAATAGAGATCTACTTGAACAAATCATATAACATAAACTAAATTCAATATATATATCAACAAAACTTTAATAGGATAGATGAGTATAACATTACATCAGAAGGTAATTTTATAGGGTAATCCTGTAACTGCTAATTCGTACGACAAGGTGGTCTAAGTAATTCTAATATTTATTTGTTATTTATTCAAAAATGATTGAAACTTCTATATACTAATGATAAATATATCATCTTATTTTATTGCAATTAAAGGAAGTCTTTACCTTTCAGTCGTATGAATTTTCAGAAAATACTGAGACATATCCGTAATATCTACGAAATTATCGGAAATTTTTATAGTTTTGGAGGTAGACTTCTATATTTCTATAAATTGATAGTTTCATTTGTTCATATTAATGGAAAAGAGAACTTAGAGGTTTCAAGAGAATTTTTGAAATGCCTTATATAATAATGGCCTTAGAATTTTTTCCTTTTAAATCAGTGATACTAATTTCCGAAGTGATCTTTCTTGAAAATCTGAATATTGTTATTGCTAAACATAACGATAGTAATTTGTTTGTATTTTGTGATTTTGGATATTCATAACTAACATAAGAAAATCTAACAGTTAATTATTTTCATTTACTTTGCGCTTTGGCAACTTTTTCAATCGTAAAAGGACTATTTCTTTCATCTGCGAATAAATTCTAGTCTTTCAAAGTAAACATATCAGTTTAAATCTTTAGATTTAATATATAAAATATCTTTATAATAAAAAGAAACACCAATTGCTAATAGGTAAACCAAATGACATCAAAAATAGACAAATAAAAAGATGAACTTTGACATCAATTTAAACTTATTCTGCTTTATTTTGATGTCCCTGTAAAATCAATTTGTTCTTCTCAGGACAACCAGAGTCCAAAAATAGGTTTTATATGAATATATAAATTTTTCTTCAAGAAAAAAAAAACAAAAATAAATATTCCATTTTAAAGAAAAAATATTTTGTCTGTGTTAATAAAAATCGATGAAAAAGAAACAGAAAATTAGTTTTTAAATAATGCAAATATGATTGTTTATATTACATAATACATTCTAAATAGTGTTAGTGATACCAATTGAAGCATGTCTTGGTTGATAGATTTTGAAATAGTAGACAAGACCACCAATTATACCAAGACATATTGGAAGTCCCAAGCCAAGAGTAAGACCAAGAATTAATTTTAAATTCTTTTCAGCTATTAATCAATAATATTAAGTATAGTAAAGTCAAAAATATACAACTTACATTTAGTTGGTGATTCTATAGTAGTTAAAAGATCGTCCGACGTAATGATTGAATATGTTATTGTTGCCTAATTCAGTCACATTAGATTTTTTATATAGAATTTCAAATAGATATTTTACCGTATCGAATAAAATAGTTGTATTCATATCGATAGTCTCAGAGAAAAGACCATTGTCACTGATGTTCACAGTAGCTGCAATATCAGAGCTACTAATCATTTCAACTAATGTTGTTGCTGTTGTTATTGTAGATACTGTTGTTGTAGATGTTTCTGTTATGGATGCTGTTGTTGTAGATGTTTCTGTTATAGATGCTGTTGTTGTAGATGTTGCTGTTATAGGTGCTGTTGTTGTAGATGTTGTTGTTATAGAAGCTGTTGTTGTAGATGTTATTATAGTTGACTAATCAAGGAAATATTTTCTTTTTGTTTTACTATAATGTTTTCTTACTTGTATATTTATAGACGAATCTGTTATTGATATTGTGTCTTGTGCTTCACTTGACTGAACTTCTAATGATGTACCGATGGTACTAGTCAAAGAAAATGGACGATCAATTTTTTTATAATATAATTATCGATAAGACCTACGTAGCAATGACATTGGAAGGTGAATTAGTATTTGAATATGTACTTGAAAAGAATATAATAATTAGTGAATGTCAATTTGAAAATATAGCTTACTTAATTAGTGTGAAATCAATAGAAGTTGCCGTCAAATCAGATTCTGTTTCAGATATTTCAGACTTTAAAATTGAAAATCATTATAAATTTTAAATAAAAATTTTATTCGATACTTTACTGAATATACTGAAGTGCTCAACAAATTACGAACAGCTGCTTGTTTTAAATCATCTAAAAAGATTAAATGAATGGTAATTATAATTTATTAAACTTTTGTTTTCGATTTCTAAAAGATTTTAGTTTTTCTTTAACATGTAATATAATCTTCTCGTAAAAAATAAAAAATAATTAAACTGATTTTCTTTACACTTACCAATACGTAATAATTGATCATTTAATTTAGATACTATATTATTTTCACTTGACAAAATATTTATTCGAGATTGATTCAGTAAAATCTTAAGTATATGACAGTCACCAGAATTGATTGATGTTGATCGTGTTAAAACATAATTTAATTGAACAATTATCAAAACAACTAAATTCATTAAAAATCATTTATCATAAAAGAGAAGAAAAAAAATTGAAATAATGTTTTATTACTAAAGATAGTCAATCTAGTTGACATCGTTTTCTGCATAAAGTATTCTAATAATTTTCTTTTCACCAGCAACTTTGAATCTAATAAAAAAAAATTTCTTTCGTACTGTAAAATGCAATAATATAATAACAATATGGTCTTATAAATAAATCTCGTGGTTTAATATTATCAAACTGTCTGTCTGATTTACATGTCTATTGATAATCAAATATATTTTAACTGATAATCTCGATAGTAACAGGTAATGTTTGAAAAGAAAAACATTGGAAATATATAATAAATATAATGAAATTCTTTTTTTGACATAAATTATCCCACACGCTCTTGTTACTTAATCTTTTTATAATATATGCAATCAAAGCCATAGAAAAAAAAAAAAAAACTTTTTTCAATTGGTTATCTGAACTTTTGATAAAGTATTTTACATAATAAAAAAATTATCGCAAAAAAAATTATCATAATCAGAAATACTTCAATCATCTTTCGGCACTCTCCAAACCATATCGAATTATATGTTATCAAATATGATTTTGAAATAAGTATGAAACTTTATAATGAGCACATTTGACATAAAACTTTCACTTCCTTACGACATACACATCTAGAATACTTGGAAACTTATAAATAGATGTTGTTACAAACTAAAATAGTTCTATGAACATTTGAATCAAAAATAAATTGACTAACAAAACTGTTTTAAATATTTCCAAACATCATTGAATAACTTTTACTTTAGAAAATATAGGAAATAATTGTATACAAACTTATATGTAATATAATCAACAAATATATACGATTGTGATGAAATCCTCTTTTTTTTTTTATGGAAATTTATATGAATTTCTCATTTATTTTATTAAATATATTATTGATGATGCACACAATGGACGATCACTTTTTTGACATAGATGTTTACATATATAAATATGTATATACACGTTTTAAAACAGAGTTCTAATTTGATTATACATAATGATCGATATTATTTGACCATATTGACAAAATGAATTATCGTCTTTTTTGTTTTGTTTTCAACGCTAACATTATGAATCAGGTGTTATTACATCAGTTAAACCGTAAGGTTTAATTGCTTTTTCTAAAGTTAATCTTTCAATATTTGTACCAAGTAATGGTGTTGTTTGTTCATATTGTTGATGTTTAATATTTTCAACAAATGAAACAAGTGGTGAATTATGTTTAATAGTTATTGATGGTGAATCAAGTAACATAATTGATGTTGTTTGTGTTATTGAACTAATACGTGGTCCAATTGATTGATGATGATAACAAGTTAAAAAATGTTCATCTTGTTCATCATTAGTCATGATTGAATTTTGACGTATATGTTGATTTTGATTTGTTAATGGAATTTCTGATAATGAATAAGCACTACAAATACTTGGACGATAACTAGAATTTTGTGATAAATTTATTGTTGGTTTTGGTGCAACTAATACTCTTGTATAACGTTTACCATTTGAATAAAAATGTTCATGTACACCTTGTGATGGATTATGAATTAACATTAATCTTTTTGCACGTTTTGTTAAACGTTCTGAGGATGAAGAAAATAATAAGAAATTATGACAAGTAAATAAACGACGAAGTTCATGACGAAAAACTCGACCAGTAAATGCATATAAGAAAAAATTTGAAGCTAAACAGACAAAAAAAAAAACAAAAATAATTTAATTTTGTTTGGTTTGGTTTTTTGTTTTAAATTAACATACAATGATTTATATATTGAGATATTTCTGCTATAATTTTTCCTATTGCAATACCAGCATTTAATGTTAATGAACGTTGTTCAATATCTCCATAAATAGCATCGATTAATTGCATTATTGATATTGGCATTGAACAAATACAAAATGCAAATGATACAGCTAATAACATTGTTGTTAAACGACGATTAACTTTTCTATATGTTAAAGCTTTTGTTGATGTATGTTTTTCTTGTTGATATGCATGAGATGAATGTAAAAGATTATGTTTAATTTTTTTATTTAATTTATTTATACTATTATTTGTTGTTGATGTTGATGAAAATGACATTGAATAAGAATTTTTATGATGATTTATATTATTTTCATTTATTGTTTGTTGTTGTAAATATTTATTTGTATTACGTGCATTTAATAAACTTTTTATAATTAATATATTAAGTGTTATTAAAAGTGTAAATGGACAAAATGAATATTTAAATGAATCAATCCATGTAAAATATCTTATAAATAATGATTGATCATTTAATGGTATACAATGTAATACAGTTGAAGATAAATGAAATGTCCATAGAAAATGTGCATTTATTAAGAAAAATATTGTAAATACAAGTAATAACATATAACGTGCACGTTTTACTGTACAAATTTGACTAGCACGTAAAGGTTGAGAAACAGCTATATATCGTTCGAATGTCATTGCTACTGTTATCCAAACACTAGAAAAGAATTTTTTTCAAATTTATCAATAAGTTAAAAATGAAATGAAAGTGTATTTTTATTAAATTCAATAGAACTTGTGAGGGAAATAAATGACTCGTAAATTTTTGTTTGAATTCATGTGAAGTCCATAGGAAAGTTTCATGAAGACAAGAGATATTTTAAAAGGATTCGTATTTATGGATCTCTGTAGCCAAGTTATGACCATTTTACCTAATTTTCGGCTCATTTTTGTAGGTATTGACTAGAAAATCAAATAATGAAATTTTGATCTGAAATTCAGTCTATAGAGAGGTATAATGATCTTTGGAATATTCGGAAAGTTTCAGCCGAAAAAAAAATGTTCATTTATTGAGTTATTGAATTTCTAAGTAAACTCAATTTTTTGTTACATGTCTGTGACAGGGGACCATTTGTTGGCAATTTAATAGCTCGGCAAAGAAACATTCTTTTCGGCTGAAGCTTTTAGAATATTCCAAGGGTCATTAAACTTATCTAGGGAGTGGAATTTCAGATGAAAATTATATTATTTGATTTTCGGGTAAATACCTAAAAATGAATCAAAAATTGGCTCCAAAAGTCTATGGGCATGAACTCTTTAAAGTTTTTTCTAACCTTATCAGGAGCTCTTTGTAGGCTCAATATGAATTCAAACGATGAATTAAAATTCGTTTAATTCTCTCATTAGTGTGATTTAATCTTTTGTTTTGAGACAAATAAAATTTATGTCATTTAATAATCATTATTTGTTACATTGGATTATTCATATCAAAACAACAATAAGATAAGATCCTGTTTTGATATGTATTCCATTTAAGACAGATGCATATTATTATATTTATATAAAATATATTTCCATTGACTAGTCTTCTATTTCCAAGATAAAAATGAACTTTTCAATTATCTGAGTGACTGTGACAGAGAAAAGAAAAGAAGAATTATGGTTTTTATTAAGATTTTGACGAGATAAAATTTAAAGACATTCTGTCACTTCTCGTTATGACATTTATCTCTTAAAGATATTAAAAAAAGAGAATATATATATCAAGTATAATTAAACATATTATTGCTTACCTACAATCAGCAAAAAAGAAGAATGCAAATGTGCCTAATTTACAGCACATATTACAAGCTAAAATAGGTCTTTGTTTGTCTAATAATTCTAACCATCGATTTAGACAACCAATCCAAAGAACAAATGTATCAGCAATAGCCAATGCAGCCATATAGAAACATGATGATGAATGTCGCATGCGACCACGTCTCATAACAACAAATGTTAACGTATTACAAGTAGTACCAATTAATAATAAACATGGTAAAATAAATTCTTCACTACGTGAAGCTATTTGAACAAAACGATTATCAGATGTAAAGTCTGAAGTATTTGTTGATATTGTTGTTCTGTTCATTCTTATTCGTTATACTTTTAAAAATAATGATTACATTTTATAACTAAAATATATATATATAAAAAAAAAAAGAAGAAAAAAAAAGTTATGATTGTAAATCGAGATATAGTGTATGACGTTAGAATGATGATGATCATCATATGATAGTTATCTTTTACATTCGAATGCATTGTTCGATAGATGGTTGTCATCAATGAAGGTCTACTATCGTGCACATACTTACACAAAGTTGAAGACAGCGTTTTTGCCATACCGATATCAAAGAGGTCAGAATAAACATATCAGACTTGGGATCTCTACTTAACATCTATCGTGAAAATATCTTAAGGGGAAATTCTATTTTTTTGAAGGTAATATATATAGAAAAAAAAGAATCTTAGGTTAAAAAGACGAGATTATACGAGCGTGACTTCATGTTACTTTAAAATCTTGATAGGATGAAATATATTCTATATATATTCATTTCAAGATATAAATATATACATTCATATCTATAAAAACAAACTTTTGTACTTATATTTTTACTTATCGGACGATTCAAATAAAGCTTACGGATGATAATGATGTGGCTTATTTTTAATTAATAGTTGTGTTTTGTTTTTATCCACACCTCAAAATAGCTATATATTCGTCTTTTTAGAACTCAACTCAGATATTTATATATATTATATAAACACCGAGTTTTCATTTGAAACTATTCTAATATTATCAATGAATTTTTCTCTCTTAATAACTAATATCAGTTTTTTATTAATAATAAATATTAATATCTTTTTATAAATATGTACTGAAAAAACAGCAAATGACACATGAAATAGAAATGTACTGCTTACCCATTTAAATTCTATTTTTTTCGGAGGTCAAGTGTTGATTAATTAAAAAAAGAAAATTTTGCGCATCAATGATCATCAATACAAAACAATTATTTAATTAACAAAAATACTTTATCTTTCCGCAAACGCCTACAACTTGTTATTTTAAGAACTAAAAATAAGTTTGAATTGATACTATAATATATTTTCAATAGAAAAATAAAACATAAGAAAATCTACTTACATCTAACAAATATCGATTTATACAATCGATGTTAC